ATAAATATAGTTTTTGGTTCATTAGGTGTTACGGCTTGGTGGCGCTAGCTACCGCCCAATCTAAAGGGTACAGCCATATCCATCCATCCATCCATCCTGTCACCTCACGCTTTGCCTTTATGCATTTCTGTGCTTTGATATTAGTAATAGCAGGGGTTTAACGTCCCAAAACCACCATACAATTATGAGAGACGCCGTAGAGGAGTGCTCCGGAAATTCGACCACCTGGAGTGCTCTAGCGTGCACCTAAATCTAGGTACACGCACCTCATTATTTGCGCCTCCGCCGAAAATACAGGTGCCGCGGCCGGGATTTGATCCTGTGATATGCGCTTGCATACGTAATTGCTGACACGTCCGCGAAAAGCTTTCGAATGGGCTTGTTTGTACTGCATTCAAAACAAAACGTCAAAGCCGCAACACGCGGTTTAAATGCAGGTATTAACAAACGACGGTGAAGCAGTCATCTCTGAGTAAACTGCTTGCAGTTTTTAAAGCTCGGTTGGTGAACGAACGAAAATTTAGGAAGATTGAGGTATCGAAAATGAAGTTTTTTCATTCCATTGAGATATCGAAGGAGCATCTATAAACACGAAAATTTCTTGTTATATGACTGCTATATCGAGTCGTAATCTGCACGCTGGGACAGCTTCGACTTCCTTCGTTACGCGCGCGGCACCGTTCTTCTCGATAGTTGCATCATGCAATTTTAATTATGCTGCTACGGTGACAAAACTGCCATTTGATTGAGAGGCACGCCGTAGCTGAAGACTTGGGAATAGTTTTGACAAACCTGGGTCCTTAAACGATTACGCGCCCATCGAAATACTGCTGCGGTGGCCGGGATATTGCACTGTACAGTCAAAAGGAAATACCACTTGGTACCACTGTCAGACAGTAAGAAGAAATCCTTTATTTACGAACGCGCATACTGCAGTGAGCAGTAACACTGATCAAATTTGTCACCACTCAGTGGAATTGTCAGTTCACGATCACTTCATCGCGGTGGCACCTTATGAACCCCGACTAATTTTCGCGTGCAGCTTTCTTTCTTTTTTTCTTTCATTTTGCTTCTCGAGACTGGTTGATACCTTCACGAAAACATGAAGTCGTGACAGCACGTAAATTACCGCTCTCTTTGACACGAGATGCGGGGTGATCGAGCTCGTATAAATTCAAGGTGAACAAAGTTTGAGTAAGCGTTCCAGCGAAGCTGTAGTCCCTGTAGTGTTCGCCACCTCGGGTTCGTGGTCAGCAGAAAGGTCCATCGATGTACCTGAATCAGTGGCCTCAACGTCAAGACAGGGTGCTGCAGTTTTCTTGGAGATGATAGATTCAACCGCCGAGTTCTTCCGCTTTCTCGGAGGTCTTGGATGCGGCGCTTTCTTCGATAAGTAGCTTAGAGCGTTAGGCAGTAACATCGGCACAGCGTTAGCTCTGGTCTCCTACGTGGTACGCGAACTTTTTTCGCCGTTTATAGCGTGCACGTAGCGTCTCCGAGAACACATGAAGGCTCGAAGTGTATCTTACATACAGAGCAGCTTTCGTTCAAGGTCCCATCCTTTCAATGTAAATTCTGTTCCCAAACCTTCCATGCTTCGTCTTTGGGTGCAGCAAAAAGCGACGGCTGCTCACTTTTTTTCTAATGGTATACCCTGTTTCGCACCTAGGTGCAAAGCAGTGTCGTTGCCACCGATGACTCGACATTGCCTCACTGTCGTGTGGCCAGCAAAAACATTGCTAGAAAAACTTTTGTTAAGCGGGTGCGAACACAAGCAACCCGAGAAGGCAGAGCGGCGCAGAGCTGACAATCCTGTCAGCCCATGCTACGGCAGCGCCGCCTTAAAAACCGATTTTTTGTCCACGTGCGACGCTTTACGCGATGCATGGCGAGAGAGGGTACGTGAACACACTACCCCATATTTTAGTACACTATAACCATGCCTCCTCGCTGCCACATGAGGGACCAAAAATTGAAGAATAATTAGTTTAATTTTCTTTCAAACGCGAATCATAAAGCGCTATCTTCAAATGCGTCAAATTTGCATAGAATGCGCTGTTTTGTGCGATTTTTATTTTTAATGTCAATTAACGTGCAAATATATATCTAATTATTCTGCAATCAAACATCTTTGATTCTTGCAATAAAAAAAATCTAATCATAGGTCCAAAATGCATAAATTATTTGTTTTTTGTTGTATGCGTTTCGAGCAAGAAAAAATAATGCTGTTTACTTTTGGTTAAAGCATGGTTAGAGTGTACTGGAACTGTTGTTTGGTTAAAGTCCCTAGATTTACACTGTATTGGTGCTAGATTTTTCCTTAAAATATGTAGATACCTTAGGTAGTGTCTCCAGCAAAATGATTTTTCGCCGTGTTTTTCGCGGCACAACGAAGTTAAATAACTGTATAGTTGCCCACTAATGTTCCCACTGCGGTTCAAGGCATTTGAACAAACACGCGGTGCGGAACGCGGATGGACCTGTTGTCGATCGATGTGTACAATCGCATACACCGCCGATGAAGAAGACATAGCTATTAAAATAAGAACAATGCAATCGACCAGCGATAAATCCCGTTGCTGTAGCCCAGTGATGAAGACGCCCCAAGGGAAAGGATATTTTGAAAATTCAGAGCAATGCTTGGGTTTCAGCACGAATAGAGTTTCGCTTTTTTCTATGGTTAGTGAAGCTACAGCAAGCAAATAATGTTACAGCATAAAGGACATTGAACTGGACAGCAGGTGCAGACACACTTCCCATTTGCGAATGGGACACCATTTATTAGCCAAAGCAAAAAAAAAAAAAAAAAAAGGCGGCCATTATCTTGAATTAGCTTGTACATAGTTCAATTTTCATGAAAGAAAGGCAGTAGCGCAATGAACAGGGCCACGATGGCCTGGCACTCACACCTACTGCACTTTATGCAATTTTGGGGAGATTAATGATATAAAGACATTCAGAACAGAAGACTTGAAAGGAGGGTGAAATTAGATACGCATGTATACATTACAAATGACGAATCACTCACCATAACAACCACCGAATCATCTACTGAAACTTTTTGAAGGGCTAAAATAGCCCTGCTCAATATGGGAGTGTGCAATGCAGGGGACGCGGTAATCGTTTAAGACAAAGCCTCTGAGAAAATGACCACTCTCGCATTCTCTTCACGGATGGACGCATCAGTGACAATCAATTCCCAATTGAAATTATTAGTCTGCTAGCTCATTTTTATCTAAAAGACCGGAGTTAGGCATTACAAGGGAGTATATCATCACATTCAACTTTTGTATTGCCCAATGATTTATATCCTTCTGAACAACGTCACAAATGTCAACATTTAAGGTTCTTGCTGATCTTGTACAAACAAAACATGAGGTTTATGTGCACAGGGCCAAGGCTCATTAAAAATGTTCCCGATTAAAAAATCAATATAAACTGTCAATGAATTTGTTAAGATGTAGAAATTTTTAAATATGTTTTCTCGGTAAGAATGCAGAATCTGCAAGCTATAGTATAGATTTGCACCTTCTCAGCATGTAACATTGTTTGCAGTAAGTTTTGGTACCCCTAGACAATTATGATTAGCAGCAACATAACCAGGAAATGTTTTTCAGAAAGTGCTCAACCATACTTTGTGTACATTCTTGTGTGTGTTTGTATGTGTGCATGCATATACACATGCAAAGTTAAAAACTTTCAAGGCGGGAAGGGGGTTTCTTTAGGAGCGAGAGGCTCATTTTCAGAGGTGAAGCCCTTGAAAAAACAGCCCGTGGCTTTAAAAAACCACTGCAGTAACTTTGTAAGCCGGCCTCGCAGGGTATTAAACACTATGAAGTACGAACAGTGAGAATCCAACACAGGGGCACAAGAAACACAGACAAGCGTTTTGTGTTATTTTTTATTGTTTTGTTCATGCTTTCTTCATGTTTATGCTGTTTATATTTTTTTTTCGAGTGGAATAAAAATTCACTTACTAGTCAGTGTTGTCCCTTCTTGTGTCCCCGTGTTGAATTCGCACTGTTCGTACTTCACATTGCTAAACCAACTAGCCCACAGCTTCACTTTATTAAGTATAAAACACAACTGAATTCAAGGGTCACACGAACGTACATGCGATAAATGATAAGCATTGTTTCTGCGTAGCCCGGTGTGGTGTTGACTAAGTTCACGTATCAATACATCACATGCTGCTTTAGGTTCAAAATGCTCAACGTAATTACGATACACCTAAATATTTAATGTAGTTTTTTGAGGGTGTGTGTTTCTTGACGGTATTGGAGAGAGATGCTAACTGGAGCATTCAAAAGAAAAACAGTCACAAACCTTTTGCTAGTAATTAAGTCATGAAATTATATTCAAAGCATAATTATAAAGTTCCTAAATATGATGTCAGAAGCCTAGAGCACACCGCTGCGGCCTAGTGGCAGTGCACTTCCTGTGATACCAATGTGAATTTCGTGCAGTGTGGGAGAACAATTGTCCAGAATATGTGATTAGGTAATGGTGTAAATGAAAATACCGTGAATTATAGTCACAGAAGCAAGCACCCCTTTTTTATACGAGTAAAATTTATATTAGTAAATCATGTTAAACGTCATGAAAAACTGGCATGTTGCACAAGTAGTGGAAAAGCCTTGAAACTGGATTATGGAGTTGTTTACTTTGTTTCACACACTGTCCATGATGCTTTCATCCGCTATAATTAGTGCTCAATGCTACAGCATGTATTATATTATCTATCCCCACTTCCTTTTGTGCTGCTTATAAGGTAAAAGAAGCTTGAATGCCGAAAAGCAGTGCTCCTCAAAAGCAACTAGCAAACATGTCAAGTCATGAGTTAGACATGAGTTAGATATTGACATGTCAGCTAATGTTTCATTTTCTCTGTTTGTCCCCCAATACACTTTTTTTAATGAAGTAAACTGATAAGAATCATTCAAAATGGTACGCTGAAAACTAACGTAACAGGGCAGGCAATTATACGACCTAGACAAACAAAGCGTTGAAAGACTGCTTTATTCTACACAGATATAACAAAGGCTCTTAATTTACATATATACAATCACATATGTACCGTAACTTGGACAGTGGGCTAAGCACAACACCACATAGTGCACATAATAAAGAACTGAAGACGTGACAGCACTGTCTTCTTTGAGGCACCTTGACAATTTGGCGACCACTATAACAAAACACAATAATGTGAAACGTCAGTTTTAAAATCTGGAAGCCTGAATACAATTCAGAACTACACAAGAAATATCACAAAACAATTATGTCACAGCTGTTGCTTGAGAAACCACAGCGGCTAGAAATGGTATCAAGGAACCATTCACGTCTTTGTAACAAACATTACTAAAATGGAGGTCTTATTCCAGATCTCTCAGGTGGAATTATACTTAAAAAAAAAGTAAAACTTGTGCCCCTTTTGTCTGAAAGACGTTGCAACATCATAGGAATAATAGATAAACCAGGGAAGTTGCATGTTCGTGAGCACTCTGCATAATGCTCACTCATGAAGACAGGCAAGACATTTGGTTCTACGTGTTGCCAAGGAGATTCCATGTGTACACATGCACTGACACACTGGAATTGTATAAATGCAAGAAGTTTGCAACAAGTCACTGGCAATGCCACACTCGCAGACAAAAATGTTGGTTTCCATCAAAACACTGCTACAGTAATGTCACCTTACACTAAAACGTTTAATGTCACTGCCATCAGAAGTCTACATACAGGGTGTGGATGTAGCAGAAGCAGACAGAACATTCATACAGTTTACCTGTGTAATTCATAAAAGGATTTAACAGCATTCCCATTGTGTTATATAAAAGTCCCAACATTGGCATGAAGAACAAACTCCTCCTACAAAACTATGCAGTCAATGTTCTTGATGCCTCTGTGCTTGGAAATTTCAGGTCATTTTGGATGACAAGGCAGAAATAGAAGCCACACGCATAATTAGGTGACATAGTTCATGCTGAGTTCTTGACAGCATAAACATATGGGCACAACAATGCATGTTAATGAGCATATCCAAAGAGCCCAAGGAGGGATGAGCTTTTTGGACAAGGCCCCACAATGTGCAAAAAGCTATGTGCATCCCCTAGCAAAGATGGACCATCAAAGGCCGAGCCAACCATTCTGCCAACTTGGGTGTGTTCGTGCACCCACATACTACTTTAAGGTCACACCAACTAGCCGAGTGATAAAACATTGAAGCCTCCATGTAAAACCTTGCAGTAATGGTAGATGTGGAATATTAGGGTGCACACAATAACCACTTCTAATAAAATGAAATTTAAAACTGTGCAGCCATTACTGCCTGACCCAACGAAGAGCACCAGCACAACTTCCTGCCATGAAGCTCTGAAATTGAAGCAACCTCAGCAATAGCAATATTACAGTATTGTTCATTTATAACTATAATGTGGAGAAAGTAATAGTTAGCACGAGTTTCACCTCTGCATTTGCAGTCTTGAAATAGTGCAAACAATAACTTTAATTTCAGCTCGTTTCTCAAATTCTTTTTATATTGTTAGTCTTTTGGCACCAACAATTAGCAAAAACAACCGCTCCAACAAACAGCAGAAGTGGCTTTACACATCAGCTGTATGTCAGCCGATACCAATAGAATGATCTCGAAAGCCTGTGCAACCACACAACTCCTGACAGTTTTTGGGAGACTAATATCTTTAGCTGCCCTTAAATGCTACCGGGGTGACCATCCCAACTACAGAGAAGCCAAGCAAAGCAGTGCAAATCTTAGATACTCGTAGAAATAAATGTGCCGAAAATCTTGATATCTTTATTATAATTTCACGTTACTGTGCATGTAAAGTTATTTTTTAAGGGACAGGTTCCTTTTAACAGAGCGGTTCCTCAAGTCTACTCCGAGACTGCATCACGGTGCAACATTCGACCCCATAACTTTGGTAATTACAATAGGCATAACAAAAAGCCTTGGTAGCTGAAGGTGCGTTGTGCACGTCACTCGGTAAATCCTTCATCGTCGCTTACAAGAGATTCGTGGTCCCAAAAGAGGCTTTCTTTCTTGAAACGGTTGGCAGTGCCCCTATGCAAAGCCTCCCTGCTGCTCCCTTTTCGCCAGCCAGGTGCTTGTCGCTTCAGGTACCAATTGTCCATGCCTGCTGTAGCTTCACCACGCTGTCGTTCCCTTATTTTTGCTCGAGTGCTGAACCAGTCTTCCTCTTCAGTTTCTTCCACATCCAACAGCTGCTTGTTCTTAGTTGCTGGCTTTTCAGTAGTCACTTTTCTCTTTGCCTCATTTTTTTTGCTACACCTACTACCTCCCTGGCAGTCATCGTCCTCATCCACGTTAACAGCCTTGTGATTTCTCCAGCTGTGTTTGGCTTCCTCCCTCCTTGGCGTACTTGTGGGCTCAGTAAAACTGTCCTCTACCTTTTCAGACGAAGCTTCCCAGTCACTACTGAGCATCTGGGCTACCTTGGTAAGCTTAGAAACTAACTTTTCGGCGTGCTTTCCTGTTGCTTCTTGCCCCTTGGAGACGAACTTTCGTCCGGCATCAAACACTTTCTTGATTGATGATTCTAACAAACTCATTGTCTGTGAGATGGAACCAACAGGCTTCCCTGATCCGTGAAGATATCCGTCCAATTCTTCTCGGCGTCGGTTAAGCTCTCGTCTCACCTAAAAGATACAGCAAAGGGACAAGCAGTCAGAAATGACAAGCAGTCAGAAATGTAAACGTGCACTGATCATGAAACATTGGTCCACTATTCTGGGTGAAATCATCGTGAGACGTCCAGGAAGCTTTTGCCCAAATGGCATTCATGCCAGCTGCACATTTCTTCAAAAGCTCTCCACGGTATGTGGCAATGCACGGTTAACACAATACCACTCAGCAGATGAAAGCTTTTTCAGTATATACAAAGAAATTGCTGTACCTGTTTAGTTAAAGTGATACAATAAGAGCCAGGGTTTTGACAAAACTCATACAGGGACAGTAAGGCAAATAAAATATTAGGCCACAGTGGTGGCTTGAAAGCATCTCAATATTATCGACAGCAACGCTTGCATAACTGAGTTAAAGGGGCCCTGAAACACTTTTTTGAGTACCATAGAATTAAATCATTGGAAAAGCGTATTAGCTCACAAATTCAATGCTGCAAAAATTTTAAGAATCCGTCCAGTACGAGTGGAGTTACAAAAATTTGTCCCACGCTGCGATTGCTTCTCTCTTCTCTCGTCCCGATCGAAGTGCAGGAAACTAAGCAGGGAGAAATGAGAGGGGCAAACAAAAAACGTCATTCGCGCCTTGTGACCTTGAGCACTTTTTTTCTTCGAACAAGCGGCTTTTTCAGTGCGAATGCGTGGACAAGTGACGGCCTCTCGCGGTGACCTCTGTAACAACCGAGCGCGCCATGTTCAAATCAGCCAATGGCTGATAGATGGGCTTACTACGAGTGATTTTTGGACTTATTCCGTGATTTCTCAAGAGAAGAAAAGCAATTGTTAGCTGACTTTGATAATTTATTGTGAATTCCAGGCCGCGTGCTATGCTATAATATTTGGCTCGCGCGTTGTTGGGAGCCTCCACTACTGATCGGCAGCGTTTTCTGACCATGCTCAAAAAGTGTTGCAGGGCCCCTTTAAGGAAAATGTTGGGCCCAACTTGTGATTAGCAAGACTATCTAATTACATATAGCACTACAGCTCAACAACACAATTCCTCAGAATAATTCTGCCATTACTACTCAACCAGTCATAATAATAATAAAACTGCAGAGCACTGTCAGATGAACTCGAGTGCCATAAGTGCATATTTTTTTATAGAATTCTCACGAAAAATAGCTTACTGATGTTATAAAGACAACAATGCGCTGGCAAAAAAATATTCTTTTCCATATCTCTGTGTCATCTCCATAATGATGAAGCCCACTATAATTGCAATGCAAGCAAAAATATTGGTGCCATGCCACGTTGGTAGCTCAGTTTCTGGCAGTGCATTTGTTTTACACATGAAATGGTAGCACTAGTTGCCATTCACTAAAGGAATGTGAAGGCATATGCAATGTGAAAAATCCTTGCTCAAGGGTAGGGGCAATCTGTATTGCGCCTCAGTTGTGCAGACACCTTAAAAACACTTTCATCTTTGACTAAACGCTTTCTAAGCAAAAAACAAGCACTGAAAGGGTTCTAGAGTGGTAGTTTAACAGTCAGCATCAGCTCACCTTGTGCCAGTAGTGTTTTTTTAAAACTAGATGTCTGACTTTGTATTTGTATTACAAACAGTGACTTTCGTTAAAAGGCATGCCGGGTGAGTATGTGGAAGGAATTATCCAGTAGTGTATTTGAATTTGCTGTTTCCCTTCAATACTGTAGCAAGTTTCAAGGAATGCCGAAAGCAGACTTACAAGTGCACATTTAAATGATGCTTCAAACGCTACATTTGCTTATGATACTGGTCCCAAAAATATGTCAACTTTTTCTTTTGTTCATTTAAGTAAGGACCCCTATAAGCTAAGCCATGGATTCTCAGACTGGGTTACGTTTAAGACACCTTAGGGTTCCACAAGCAGACAGAACAAATGCAACCGGCTTCCATTTTGCCCTATTAACAAATAATTAATTTATTTAGACAAGTTAATTTTCATTGCATTTTTCAATATTGAAGAAATCCCACGTCACATCCTTAAGTCAGGTGTCTAAAGGTACTGAAAAGCCACTGTGCTGGCAGCACTGAAGACACACCATCTAGTGTGCTCCATGAAACTTGTACAACTTACAGACCCACAACAACAGAACATGCGCAGTACTAGTAATTCATGTCCATGAACGTTCAAACTATTTGAAATGACATTCATTATTGAAGATCAAATACGTACATAAATTGTCGTCCGCTAACAGCCCCAAGACAAAGAGGTACGTGTACATCATTGCCTGTATGTTTAAAACGTACAGCTGTTACAATCATTTCTCATGGATGAGCTGCCACACTGCGGGAATATGTGGAATTCTTTTCCTGCACCGGGCTTTACTACAGCAGTGCGCTTGCTAGTTTTCGTTTCATTCTTCAACTTATTACCACTTGATGTGCCAGCAAAAATGATGGCTTTCGGTTTAGAATGTTTGAAAAGAGCGATTCGTTACTTTCTCCTTGATTGTCCCCGGAGTAAGCAATTATGCCTATTTTTGTGCAGGCGGTGACTGGCACAAGCGTTGCTGCTGTGGTCGTGTTTTTCCTCTCGAGGAATCACCAAAAACCGCTCCTGTTTTGTTGGCGATAAGACTAATGATTATTAGTATTGGTTTCGGGTTAACTTTTGCTTTCCGAACGCACTCACAAACAGTTTTCTTCGGTGTGCTCACTCATGCAGTTTTCTTGCACTATGAAACTGTGTGCCGGTTTCTCTTTTGCAAGTTAATCCAGAGGCGATTTCTCCAAATCTCTGTTCCAATGCTAAATCAGAATCTAATTCAGCAAATGTCAGCCTGTCACACGAGTCAAAATTCAGATGCTGATGAGTGAGCGAAATCTCAAAAGCATGCAAAAAAAGATAATGCTGATTGAAAAAGAAAAAAAAAAAGGTGGCTTTTCTTTCTTCATGTTGTCACTTAATGCCACTTCATGCACTTATATTAGTATGTCTATGAACTAAACAGACAGTTTATTTTAACGCATAACTTTGTAACAGTCATACAGGTTTCATTTTACAATTTATCTTGCTGTTACTCATGCTGCTTCTCGTCCCTTTCTCATCCCGACTTGCCTGTGAAGCTTTGAGTGTGCTTGTCAGGACAAAAAGAGAGAGAAAAAGCGCTAAGAGTGTGCGACACATCCGTGTAGGTCTGCTCGCACTTGACCGACTCTAAAAACATTTGCGGCAATCAATACGTGAAGTGATAAGCTCCGCTATCAAGGCCACTTGATGACTGCTTGGAAACTGTTGCACGACCCGTTCATCCTGACACCATTGCTTTTTCCTAATCGGTCTCACCTTTTCTCCCAAGTCTTGTACCATGGGGCGGACATCGCTGGCTACGCTTGAGCCCTTTTTGGCCAGGTCAATCAGGGATTCGAGAGTGCTGGTCCAGGCCTGTCTGCATGTCGTCAAATAGTGTCTGGCCCAGCATTAGCAATTTGCGCCACACTGTCTTGCTGCTTAGCGCTGCGCTCGTTTCTCCTGAGCTCGTCATAGAGCCTACGCCACTGCTTGGAGTCTGCCTGCTGCTTCTTCAACACATCCAATAACTCGGATAATTGGTCCTTGCTTGTAGACTGGGGGTCCTTTGGCCCTTCGTCTGCACCGTCCTCTGAATTGCTTGCAGAATCATCGTCTGCAAAACAACAATGTTCCATTAAGGTTATTTGCTTCATCCTGCTGCTAGAAGGTTTCAGTGTCCTCAGTACTCTAGTCATCTGCCTTTATCGTATTTTTCATTTTGCTGTGCTGCCCTCTGCTGTGTTGGCAGGGGAGCGGGGCAGGGTTTTGTGCACTGATACTGTCACAAGATCGACAACTGGGCTAGTTGGTATGGTTTTATAGCAGTGCAAAAAACTCAAACGAACAAGTTGACATAATGAGCGCTCACTCGCAGCTGAAAGTTTTTTTTTAGGATGAAACATAAAAAGAAGTGAACTCAAACAAACTGTGCAGTCCCCTCCATATAAGAAACATGCCAACTTGCACAAAGGCATGAAAAAAAAAAGCTCATTAAACAAATTTAACATCTTAACATTACAAAGGTCGCAAATAAGCATGATAGCACACTTTCACAAAATTACACCACGTGCTGCTAAAGAGAACCATGTGTGGACACGAGGCAGCGGAGAGATGATAAATGACGCCCACACAAGCTAGTCTATGTTGTCTTAAGCAAATGTACCTACATTCAGAACCTCTATCTGACTAACGCTACCGGTGACCAAAGCTGCTGGTGACCATGACTGCTAAACAGCCGGCCCCTCAATGCACAAACCAAAGACATCATATGTGAACCTGTGCTAACCAAAGCAGATGCACTCTGCCTCACGGTAACGTGGAACCCCGCAAGATCAACGGCTACGAACAAAGCAGAAGCTGCTCTGTTTGAGCTTTCACTCTGACATAAATTGTTATTTGCGTATATTGTCCCTTTTTTGCAGATTTAGAAAATGCTTTACGTTATTCTCACCTCTAACAGGAACGGGGCGCCCGTAGCGAAGCCGGGCAACTACAGTCTTCAAGTCTTCATTCTCAATGATCAGCCGGTTAACCTTGAAGTAGAAAAATCATAATAAACACAAGAGCCTTAACTAAGGTGAGTGCAAAATTGTGTTTTTCCATTTGCATGCATCTTAAAAGCTAAGCTAGTGTTACCAACTTGTGAGGCACAAATTATTATTTTCTGACTGCCAATGTTACAAGATTGCACCATAGAGAGACAGACAGCTAGCACTCTTCTGTGAGTAATAATAGCAATCAAAAAGAAATGTAAAATAGTTCATTCTATTGATTATAATAATCATTTTATTGATTATAATTGGCATTAAAACAAAATCTGCGTGCCTGAAGTTATCTCCAGCTGTTCTAAATCGTTGGCTATGAAACTAAGTGATCCACAGCAATTCAGACTCGCCTCGTTCATGCTGCATACATTTATGCTGCAAATGAAATGCTGCCCTTATAAGAATTAAGGGGGCAGACTGGTCTTTGGGACTAAAAAGTGACAAAAAAATTCATTTTTTAAAATTGACATATTTGGTTTCTGCAAGTATTTTTATATCCCTGTGCAAATTTTCACACACCAGGATGTGGTAATTTTTTTATAATGTCATTCTAACTGTACAGATTCTTGGTGCTGTTAACATGCAGAACCTGCAAAAAAATAGGGGAACCGACTTTGAGGCTTCTTTAGTAATTAGGCCGGCACCTGTGTTAGAAGCTCTGCTACAAATTTATGAGCATCTTTATGAGGATTGCAAAATATGCGCACCATGATTGTTGCTTTTTGAGGAAGCTGAAGTGTTTTCAGTTTTTTCCATTTTTCTAAAAAAAAAAAAGTAAATATACAACTGTTCAATTTTAAGGCCTGAATATTTCTGCAGCTAGGGCAGGTACAGCAAAAATTCTTTTTGTAATGGAAACCTGTATCTGTGTAGAATGCAAGTATGGGACCAGAATTCAGAGTACAAGCCTTTTTAATTAATTACTCATCAAAATTGTAATACAGTTCCAAGTGCTTTTGAAATGGATAGTTCATTTTGCTGTAAAATAACCAAGAAAGGCCTCAAAACAAAATACTCTTGCATACTTTCACTCTATAGTCACTAGTCTATGTTGGAATATCTTAAATATCACTTCGAATTAAGCACTTTTTTTTATATAGTGGCCTTAAACCATAGGGAGTGATTAAGTTATCTCAGGAACAAGATGAGTTATAGGAAAACTAATTAAATATTTGAAATCAGCAGAAAAAACTGCATAATCCTGTGCAGTTTGATCAAGATCACTGAAGAAATAAACTAAAAATGTCTAAGACCAGTCTGCCCCTTTAAGTCAAGCTTTGCGTGTGGAAAAAAAAAACAACAACTTTTTTTTCTCTGATGAATTTTTGTTCTCTACAACTCGCATTCCCATAAAACTCTGGACAGCTTGTGCACCAAGAAGTCCATTCGGCATGAGCATAACCCAGGCGCTATACACATAATATTTTACTAAAATCGAGGTGTAGCCTGCATTGTTGAATCTGGCAACTTATGGCAACTAGAACAGTACCAGTACAATGGAATCAAGTGCTGAGCATACCTGTCAATAAGAACATAGTAGCCATCACCAAGATAGAAAAATCCTTACCTATGTGTTTACTGCTACAGCCATTACGCATACACCCCATACGATTACCAGGATATGGAGCAATCTACCTACCAAATGAGCTTTGCAGTGCGATCTTTATTAAAAATATTACGCATACACCTCATGCGATCACCAGAATATGGAGCAATCTATCTGATACCAATTGAGGTTTGCTGCACCATTTTAATAAATAACTTATTAAGAAGATTTTTTTTTTATTGTGGACAAGGGGCCTCAGGGTCCTTACTTTGTTTTTGTTGCTATTTTTCTGATTTAGGCATGTGTCCATTAATTCCTAACTTGATAAAGCTATGTACGTTGATACTCTCCATAAAAACATTCCTTCCGGCTACACTTTAGTGAGACAGTTACAGTAATTGCAGTAAGCTATCAGCTATTCAGGTTACCACAACCAAAAATGAAGAATCCGATACTAGTATGGTTAATTATTTAAAGTGCTCAAAAACCAGCTGGTATACTTTTTTAGTGTGTTTCGATGTACAATCACTACAGGAAATAAAGTGGCTGGCGGTCAATGGCAAGTAGAAGCTGCGTACTGTGTCCCGTAGCCGAGAGATGCGACTCGTTGTGGCTGGGGAGGCTTCCCGCATGGAACGCTTCAGCATCTCGTTCTCGCTCAGCAGCTGCTGCACTTGGTGTTCGAGAGAGCGCAGAGCCGCTTCCCTCTGCGACTCATGGCCCAGCCTGGATTGCAACTCTTGGTTCTCCTCTGTCAAGGCCTGAACCTGAGCACCAAAAGGATGCTTTCTCAGCATAACTACGAAGCACTGCTGATAAAGCTTTCCACGCATTACTGCACATGATTTACCATACACTGCTCGCTATCTCATTGGCAAACCAATTCAGCTATTGGCTTATCTCATATTTCATGATTGCAAGACTTCCGTTCTTAATTTCAAACTCAAGTAAAGCAGCTGCAGGTTTCATAAAAACCGAACAATTAATTCATTTTTGCACCTCCCAGCCCAATCCACAGTAATCTGCTTAAAATGTCTTGTATTATCCCAAATTCGTGTGGGCTAATATACTTCGCGTACAACATGCATTCTTTGTCAAAAACTACATGCCAGAACCTCTTGCTTCTCATTGTAATGAGTCCACTATGGATGTATTCACTCTTGCCTGCTCTTGTCTCCAGAACCACTGGTACAGTTGCCAGCGCAAGCTACATTTAATTTACATGCCTCAAAAGCTAGGCAGGCACACTTCGTATTCGCTCGCTGGTGCACACCAGATTTCTCTGCCATGGCAAATACCAAGCTGGTGCACACCGGTTCATTGGGAAGAAAGAAGAGAGAAAGTGAATGGGGTTTGCGATAAACTACCTGCAGTTCAGTATATGCCTCGTGGATTAAAAAAAAAGTGTTATAAGACATGTAAAGCAATCTGGTTCAATGAAGAAGTCATACCACAATTGCTTGCAAAAGCCTTGCATGGCACCTCCTAGTGGCCTTATAACATGGCATGGCAATTCTGCTTTCATACAACTTCAGAAGGCTTTGATGAGAAGTTTTGAAGATGTAGGGGGGTACATACAATGTATGCTGTCAATCGGCATATTGATCTTGAGCTTAAAAACCAAACAATGCGGCACAGGCTGATCCTCGTTGACTAGGTTTTTGGTATATAACAATGGTTCTTAAACTGGATGCTATGTTACAGAACATTTTTTACAGTGATTTAAACTGGCACTGACTGCTCTAAGTTATTTTTTTCTTCCTCATGTTGACAGTTGAATACATTTTCAATTGCCTACAGTTGTAGAGCTTCTAATTTTGAGCTCTGCTGGAGATAGAACTGGGTATTAATTGGATGAACATTAGTATGGGTTGATGTTGAAAGCATGTTCCCTATGTTGAGCAAATGTCTCTGCACACAAAGAGAGGACACTAAATAACACAGTGTCCAAGCCACTCAAAGTCTTTCAGCAGAACGGTGATCAGGCTTCATACAAACTTGCTATTTTTGGTATCTGGCTAGATGAAGACAGTGAATATTGTGGACTTGATAAATAGAGTGGCTCAAGTAAACTTCACTAGCTTCACTTCATGCACCAGTCTCCACAGAGATGAAACAGAAAAAAAAAAGGCAGTAGGTTCTCCTTGAGTTAAGTTATCAGGAAGTAAATTGGGAGAAGGCAAGTAAAGCGAATTGAATGATTGGACAAGGTGCGAAAAAAAGTAGAGTAAACCTGGGAGGGGTGCCATCTTTCTCTATTTTTGTTTGAGTTTATCAATTTCGGATAATTTGATATGGAGCAGGACACGCACATTCACACCAGCACACTGTTTCTAAAATGCAGTTTGACACCTAAATCCTTACCTACTATAGCAAGCTGTTCACATCGGCAATATTTGTTTCACAACTCAGGGGGGGGGGGGGGGGGGGGGGCTTCAAGGAAAAAAAAAAAACATTTCCAGGACTTTCAAGGACGCATCCTGTTCGAACCTAATGCTAGCATGCAATAGATAATGGTGAATTCACACCTTAGTTTCCAGCTGCTGTTGAACAAGCACGTCATCCGTTTCCTCAAGTCGTGCCTTGAGCTGCTCATTTTCCATTTCCAATTTACGAGCCTGTTCTCGGGACAGGCGTTCGCTATGCTTCACCTGGTTGAAAGTCTTCATCAGCTGCAGATGCAAAACAAATACACCTGTGTAAGTACACCTGCGTGTTCTGTGTAATAGTGGCTGCGCTTCCTACAAAGAAAGAAATAATTGGACCACAAAATCAGCCTCACCCAAGTATGACAAAGGTCAGAAAGGCTGATTCAACTTAAGACAGCAGCACGGACTAGACAGGAAAAGATAGTCTTTGAGGGACAATTAGTAGGGATGGGAAAATAGGGAATTAAGGTTCAAAGTGAATTTAAAGTGAGTAGTGGTATTGTCAAATAATTTAAAATAGTATAGCTTGAAGAATGCATATTACATATATAAATAAAAATGAGCACCTTAGTCATGACCCAACTAACCTGCACAATATTCCAAAAAAATTAGAGTTAGGTGAGTGAAAATGTCAATTATTTGTTTCAGAGTAGAGAAGCAAGTCAAAATAGTGGCAGGATTAGAACAATAATTGGGTGTAAGTTATATGCTTTAAAATATGTCAAGCTTTAAAATTTGCTACATTCAGCACACACATAGCCGCATAACAAGCTTTTATACTTAAAAAAAAAAATCGGGCTGCAGATGATAAGTACATTTCGCCTTGAAGTGCGGCTTCATGGCAGTGCAAATGTTCCCTAGGCGGTGAATAGACGGTTTCACGGCACAACAGCTACACACCACAGTGAAACCACCTTAAAATCGCAACACATGCGGTGAAATGTATGTTCCTTTGTTCTTTACGAGTACTTCAAAATTTCGAAGAATTCAAATTCGTGTTGAAGCAACTTCGAACACCAAAATATTTGTTCGAATGTTTGATGCCTTAGAATATTCGCCCATTCCTAATAATTACGACAACAAGAATTTGTACATTCGTTTTGTGGCACAGCCACTGGCTCCCATAATTAGACAATGTACAGCTGCCATGTACAACACCAAAGTTCAACACGAGATTACTTTAGTGCACAGCAACAGAAGCTTTTAGTGTTTACATAGTTTTTTTAATGCTGTATACAAATATCTAATCAGTGTTACAGTGAGCAGCATAGTTTTCATTTCTTATCATGGCGATGTGTGAAAATGTAGGTTTTTTTGGCCCCAATTTTTCTATCAATAAATTTGCATATTTATGGGACATTAATGGCTCATATTCTTCCACATCAACTCTAGAATTCCAAGAACTTACTCACTAGACATTGTGCATAAACCATGTTAATGAATGTAAAAAATTTGAACCCAAGAAGTCTTCAAATGTGCAGACCCCAGTAATAAGCCAAAATTCTAAATAAATAGATAAGTGATATCAAAAGTCAAAGGTTATAACGGCACTTCTCATATGCGAAAAAAAAAAATGTGAAAAAATATCATCCAGATCTGAGTATCAAAAGAATCAAAAACAAGATGACCAAGCTGAAATAGTTTCGAAATAGTACTGCTTCCAAAGAAAAGTGCAGGTAAGATTGAAAGCTTCTGGCAAAGACTCGCTTTTATTTTTGTTTACTACTTCTTCCTTTGTGGAAGATTCAGAATCAGTAATGTTACAAATGGGACTGTTGCAGAGACTACGTGTGGATTGCAATGGCAAGTGGCCACACAGTGCAAGCCAGGAGCTCAAGACAACGCTCAATCTTGAAGTTTGCACATTCAAACCTCATTATAACAAAGTTGCATCTTGCAAGAAAATAGGTTTGTTATATCTGAAAATTCGTTAGAAAGGTTATTCTTAGTAGCACTGTATCTAATGCAAGACTATTTTCCATTTACTCCATCATAATTGATATTCAGTTATATCTGCGTTCGTTATATTGAGGTTTCTGTGTACTAGTGGTAATACTGTACTCTGCCTAGCTACGACTTGGTGCTCTACCGTCTGTCTCCTTAGCTTTGTACTATATAAAAAATTAGCATGCGAAGACATTGGTGTATCTGAAGTACAAATAAAGGGTCAACACAAAATTAATGTGACATGCTTGTCGCATATGCCAAGAAATGCTGCCTTGGTCACACCCGGTGCATACCCGCATATCACGGCCCAAGTAGCGCAGACGATTAACAGCCTCTATTGAATGAGGAATGACTAGAGTAAACTTTGGAAATTTTAACACGATAACGTTCTGAATCCCATGTCGCAGATTCTTTGCCGGCATTAACGCCTTTGCTGGTGACCCAAAAATCCCATGGACAAAACAAGTAGAAAATGCAGTTTGAGCTGGAATTGAACCCATTTTGTGTGTTGTTCAATTATTTTACCACGGTGCCAAACTAGTGCTCGAAACTCACCAAGGCAACATCAACTGTGGCTCGAGCGTTAGCTATCCAATTTCAGAAAAACGTTATAAACATTACATATAATCGATGACTAAGCAAGCTATAGCCAAGTGTTGCTCTACCTCATAAAAATATGCCTATGGCCACTGCTTACACAGATCCTCGCACCGTAGCATGCGCTTCATTTTGACACAACTGATGTTTGTACATTTACGAGAGTACCAACGCTACGTCGCATGATAAGCTGCCTTTTAGGCATCAATGTAGTTGACATACCTGGAATGCGTTTGATATGCCCCCAAATACATAACGTACAGAATAAACAATGATCCACATCATGCCCTTAAGCTACATTGATGCCTAAAGGGCATGGTTATGGCGTAATTAAGGGCTCCATGTATTTGTTGGTGGGACATGCCTACAAATGCATAATGTACACAGAGACAATGATCCAATTCATTACGCTGAACTCCGAGGGAAAGAAAATTTTGAAAGGCAACTACGTAATTACCTCAATTCCCACAATGTGCAAGATTTGCTGTAATTTTCATATAGCCCTAACTTGACAGGATGCAGTATGAAAGAACGCCTCCGTAAGCACCAAAATGCATGGAAACAATTGCAAGCTCATCTAGCAGCGTAATCTAGCAGCGCAATGCAAGTGATGCTCCTGCACACTAATAACAAGGTCATTAAGGGGGGACGCGCCCTTTGAAAACCGAAAAATCGCGAAAAAGTCGATTTTTTGAAAACCCCATACTCGGGCAGTATGACTCATAAACTGCCTCTACTGTAAATATCAATGTCTAATTCATCGCGAAAGTACGTCAAATAAATTTTATAACATGCCGCGGCAGCCGGCAAGCGGCGAGCGAGCGCCAAAAATACCCCAACTTCGCGCGCTCGCCATTTCCCAACCGCTCGGCCGATCGCCGCCATCTTGATGTTGTTTTGCTCGTGAATTCTTGCGCTTTTTTTTTTCGCCACCCGCGGCAGTGGCGGTGGCGCTCCGAGGCGGGAGTCGCTCACGATTGGGGGGCTCGCGGAAGCTTTCGAATGTCCCGCTGCCTGGATGCGAAGCCGCGATTGGACAAAGCGCGCGCCTCTCGAGGGAATGGGGGAGCCCGCGGCTCCTATTGACTGCTGCGCGCGATGACGTAGCTGCTTCTCCGGCATGCGCCGGCTCGTCGTCTGCACCGGCGCTTGCAATGCCGGCGTTCTTGGTGTGCCCCGTTTGCCATCATTCCGATCGGTCGTCACACGTGCTCCTCTATCTTTCACCGTCTTCACGAGACGATCTTCTACAGTCTTCACGAGACGATCTTCTACCGTCTTTACGAGACGATCACTACCGTCCTCACGAGACGATCTTCCGCCGTGTTCACGGGACGCGGATTGTTGCGCTGACGGTCACGATGGGCATTTCGAAGTTCAAGACTCGGCACGCGTTCGGTTCAAGAAAGCGTCAGCTGAAGCTCGTACGCATGGCGAAGCTCACCTGCACGCCCACGCGCGGCGACAGTTGCACCGACGCTTCCGCTTCATCTTTTCAAGACGATTGCGTCGACGCTTCTAGCGACGAGACTTCTACACCATCGGCACAAGGATCCGTCGTGACGAGTGAGGCTGGTGTTTCGTGCTCAAGTGCGCCTGGTGTGTCGCGCTCGCCAACCGCATTGATTCCGGCCCCGAACAGTGAGACCGCGTCGTCGACTGTGCACATCCAAACACGTTTTCGGACGTGCGAGGAGTTGGCGACGGCGGAGAGAGAACGTGCTGCTGTGCAACGAAAGCTTGGCGCTATGCCAGCGACCGAGAGGAAGTTTCAAGCGATGATGCCTGAACCCGAAGCTGCCACCGCTACGACCGAAGGCGAGAGATATTTCCTCGTGCAAGGGGATGCCCTTAGCGACATGCTGTCCAAGACCCCGTGCCCGCGCTGCCTCGCGACCGGGATGAAAGTTCAAGGAGGCACCCAGCTTGGACTTGCCACGAAGCTTGAGCTGGTATGTCCACATTGTGGAATAGTTTCAAGTTCGTGGAGCTCTGCTCGTCAAAACGAGTTAAGGGCCTTCGACGTGAATATAAGAGCCATTACGGCCATGAAACAAATAGGGAAGGGACAGACAGCCCTCAACGACTTTTGGGCAACTATGAATGTTTCCCACCGTGGCCTGCACCACAGAACTTTCCAGAGGCACCTGAAGCAATTCAGAGAACCACAGCAACAGGCCCTGGATAAATTCTATGAAGAATCGGCTTCTGCTGTGAAAAAGGTGTACAAGGAGATGGACCCATCTTTCTGCAAGGACATTACAGTGAACTATGATGGCACGTGGCATAAGCGCGGACATACATCTCACATTGGAGTTGGTGCAATCATCGAGTATCACACAGGCCTCATCTTGGATGCTGTAGTTTTATCGAATCAGTGTCTCGGCTGCCAGGTAGGACCGAAGCCTGAAGACGAGGGCTATGCAAGCTGGTTGAAGCACCATGTGTGCCAAAAAAACACTGATGCCAAGTCTGGGAGGATGGAGGTTGAAGCAGCTGTAACTCTGTTCTCACGTTCACTGTCCAAGCATAACCTCCGGTATACAACCATTGTATCTGATGGGGACAGCGCCACATTCTCTGCCCTTCAACAAGACAATGTTTATGGGCTAGTCCCTATTGTGAAAGAAGGATGCTTGAACCATGTCTGCCAAACCAAACTGCGTCAAACCAAACTGAACCAAACTGCGTCATGCAGTGCTTGAACAGCACTGCATGACGCAGTTTTGCGGTATAATGCCGGCTGCTACAGGGCCACCCAAGAGTTGTCGTCATCAGTGGGACTCACACCTGGCCACCTAACCATTCAACGAGCTGCGGAGAAAGACTCTCTGCGTCTGAGAAAGGCTCAGAAACGGATGAATGAGAAGCAGGAAAAGCGGCAAAGAAAAAGAGAGCCTAAGGACACATCTAGCTACTCTGCAGGGTCATTTTAGACCATAATAAATGTTTGAAACTTTCGAAGTCAATTTTCTCAGAATGACTTTTTTGGCCAGTGAGGCTGCTTAGTCAGGTGATCTCTCTGGAACTGCTGGTCTGATTTCTATCAGGTTTTTTTTATTATGCACCTTAATAAATTGCCCAGGGCAAGACAAGCCCGCTTTTTCAATTTATTCTGTCTGTAATTTGTAATAATTAACTAAAACTTCATTGATGAGAGCCAAATTGTGAACACTAAATTCAGTGCTCTGCTAACATTTTTTGGCAAGGAAATTTAAAAAAAGGGCTCTGTCTTGCCCTAAAGCACCTATCCAGGAATCATCATAGTGAATTTCACAGTGCTAGCACATTTTTCAAATTCTCCAGACCCTGACTAAGGGACCCATGTGGACTACCCTGATAAATGGCTGTAACTTGGGAACCAGTGAACATAACTGCATGAAACTTTGTGGTTATTCAAATGGCTTTGCTATTAGTGTACCCTGAAAATTTCATTAAGATATCTCAACAAACAAAAAAGTTGCCCTTCGAAGGTAGCCTCCCCCCCTTAAGAGCTAACCAGATAAAAAAAAAGCACATTCAATCACAAAAGCGATGCCTTTATTACAGCATACTCCATTGAAAAATAAATTTCCTGGTGGACAATCAGATGTACCTTTCTTTCTGTCAGCCCTCTCCTTATTATCCACAGTTAGTACAGAGTGCGAGAGAAACCAGGAACACTGTGCACTACATGCCTCTAGTGAATCATTAAACAGGCAAACCTGTAAATGCTGCATTTGGTTGAGGATGAGGTCAAGCTTCAGTTTGTGAAGGTCGTCAGGTGAGTCAGCAGAACAATCTCCCGTTGCAGAGTCCACTCGGGGATCGTGCATGACCACATTGCGCTGAGAGTGCTCCAGTAATTCCTTGAGTCCCTTGTTCTCCGAAAAAAGCTGCTCAAATTTTCTTTTCCAATATTCAACATCCTGGTAGCACACCTGAAAGCACACACTAAGCTTAGTTAAGGGGACAAGCAGTTTTTTTACATCGTGTTTTATTATTTATGCTAGAATTCTAAAGGCTATTAATTACATATAAGTGGCTATGTAATTAATAAAATAACCAGAATAAAGTATGTAATTAATTAAAGGTAACCAGAATAGCACTGTGCTGGGTAACCAGAATAGCACCTTTCAAGTTCATTGCATTCAGTGGCTTCTCCCAAAATGCTACCCTCTAGGTGCAGAGACTTTTTTCCTAGAAGCAGCTTTGTTTGCTCGATGTTTTTGAATGATAGCCGTTGGAAGTGAACAGCAGGCAACTGACCAATTTTGCCTCATGTTCTGACAAAATGCTTCAGAAAGTTCAAGATATGAGATACTTTTAGAAGGATGCTGTAATATAAAAAACTTCAGTGTGGGTATGCTTTTCTTTCCGAAAAAAGGAGAAATGTTGATCCATAACCTCCATTGTGGATGTCTATCAATTTTGAGAATGAAAAACAAATAAATGTAATAAATATGTGCATTTGTGCTTGAATACTGACAATGGGCCACTAAACACGGGGAAAAGTTATCTGGTAAAGCTTGCACCTCAATCCAGCAAATTTTAACAGAAGGTTCGGGGATGAGAAGGGTTGTTGAGAAATTTCTGCCTCGACTTTCGAGAAATGAGGGAAGAGATGATCGAATAAAAAAAAAAGCCTAGCTTTGAAAGAACAGGTCCAAAGCGACACAGGCTTTCCCTTCGAGGTTGTCACCCATGACAAGCCATGGTGCTGTTCTCAACACCCCAAAATAAAATTTACGTGACATTTTTTTTCACAAAAAAAAAAAATCAATGAACCCAGAGAATAGCTTGCTGGGAGCATCCACTGCATGCAATGAATTCTAAAGGTGTGGCACGAAGCTCAAATAGCAGAAGAATTGCGTACAACAATAGCTTTGCCCAGAGTAGCGCCATTTAAGCTACTGTTGGGTACCCCTTAGAATTTTCATGAGCTGATGTGAACAAAGCTATTATGTACACTTGCCACAAATTTTAAAATTAGTCATGCTAAAATAATGAGCTAAGATTCATGAAAAACTGCAAGGTTATGCATCCTTAGTGGCAAAATCCAAAAATAAAATTCTTTGAATAATCACTTCTTTTTTTTGACAACACTGACAATATCTCGTCCCAAAAAAAAGCAGCATTTCACTTAAAAAATGAAGCAAAATTTTTGGCCCAGCAAGAGACGAGTCATCAATCAATGGGCTCATCTTCACAAGGAACAATGCCAAATATAGCAAACAAACTTTAATTTAGCTAGAAAACTTCCTATACCACCGCATAATTTCGGTGAAGGGGTTTAACCTGAAGTCCCGTCTGTTCCATTTTTCTGTGTTCCAGTTGAATATATAACATAGACAGGCAAACGAGACTGTGTTTAGCAGGCGTAATGTAGCTAATGGAGCATAGTGTGCAGTTGCCAGACGAAGAATGATGTTTTCGAAGTGATGTGAAAGTCGATGTGCGAATGTAATGCTAGATAGGCAAAGTCTGTGAAAATAAAGCTTTGTTTTTAAAATTAGCACTCGCATGTCCAGTGGCGCATCCAATGCTCCCCCCTCCCTCTCCTCCCACAGAAATTTTTTTGCACCAATTTCAAATTACGAGCAAATGGCCCTCGACCACATCTGCCCGCCCAGCCCCACTCAATATAAAAAAAAATGCCTCCCCCCCCCCCCCCTCCAGAAAAAGCTTTCTGGCTATGCTCCTGCCTCTGTCGTCCTGGCATCTTCATAAGCTGCATCTGCTGCTTGGCAGCTGTGACAGCTGCGGCAAGGAGTTATAAGCAACACTGCCCCACAGTAACGCCGTTTTTCCTTACTTGTGTATTTGGAAAAGGCACGTCCTTTGGAGGCGTCTCTTTGTTTTGCTGATGCATGCATTTCACGAGCTCTTCTTGAAGTGCCTTGAGCTGCTTCATTTGGCCATGAGACAATTCTTGTCGCTGAACGGACTGGACAGACCAACCTGAAAACCAAGCAAACAACAAAATCAGCTATGAATAACCTGTACAATCTGACACAAACATGGAACTAGACAGAGACATGAGTGCAGTGTATGTGTGTGCGCATCTGGTTTTACGTGTGTATCAATGCTGCAATTCGAAGTTTCAGAAAGAGGGGGCACAGAAATATGAAGCAACACGCAATACAGTAGACTCGCTGTGAATGAAAATCTATTAAACACAACTACTGCATAAACAGAACTGTCTCTAATAAGATTGGTTTAGTACTTATATTCAGCAACCCTGTTCATCTCTCTGTAAACGGAATTCCTGTTAAGTGGAACATATTTTCTTGGTCCTTTCAGGTTCTGTTTAACGAGAGTCTAGTGTGTATAAAACTAGCACGGACAATGAATCAAAAAGAAAATAAAGTATCATAACACAAATGGGGGATACTTGAACATGTACTTGCACGAGCCATATCCAGACGTGGCCTAGCAAGGTCACTGGACGAGAAGCCCAACTCCAAATCAATGCTGTGGCTGCTATCACTGACCTCCCAAAGTGCATTCCTCACAGTTCCACCAGGCGCACTCATAAGCCCCATTTTGTTAAAAATTCTTTACTACGGTACTGAAAGAAACGGAATCCAATGCTGCGAGTCTCCAGTGATCGTCTTTTTATGCTTAGTGTGAAAGTAGGCCTGTACTTTCCGCTGGAAATCTACTCCATGTTCATGTTGAGCACGTAGTGTTTCAAGGCTTTATTTCACAAGTTAGCTAATGGCTTGTGGTGTACACGTATCCCGAAGGAGTACGGCCACCAGCGTGGGTTCGGTCTTAGCGAGCCGCAGGGCACGCGTTAACCGTCGCCGTGGCGGGAAACACGATACTGCTCAAGTCGCAACACTTTATTGTGGCAACACCAAACGCAGTACAGCCCGTTGCAAATAGGCGCGGCGGAAAGCAAGTAGGCTTATCCACGCCACGGGCACAAAGTACTACACAGGGGTGCCACGAGCACGTCTCCGCGGTAAAGGTGATCCACGGAGACACCGGAGCAAAGGCCCGGTTGCTCGAGCGAGGGCAAAGGCGCTCGCGTTGGCTTCGAAGGGAGACGGGTCGGCGTAGCTAGGCCACGCACTAGGACACCGTACTGCCCTTCGGCCGTGAGTACGCAGCGGGGCAACAAAAGGTGAGCGTTCGCGTCGGGCGCGAGGCGCCGTCAGCGAAGTCCGACGAGCCCCGAGCGACGGGACTCGACGGACGGAAAAGAATGCGTGGCTCACCGTTTGAAGTCCCGGACTGTACTCACCGCTCCCGACGCAGCGCGCGAAAACCTCTCGGGAGGCTCCCCGCGCGGCGCCACAGTCAACATCCGCTACCGGGTGAGGGAGGTAACGTCACTCCGCCCTTCCCGGCGCGGCAGACAGCAAAGGAGGGCAGACATGTCGGACATGAGAATGGCAGGAAAGGCGGTAAAGCCCGCGCAAAGGCAGCGGGCCAGCCTCAATTCCCACATCCCCCTCTCCTAAATTTGCCCTTTACCGGTCTGCAAAAGGCAGCCGGACGTCACCCATGCAGTTAAAATGACACTACTATGAGCGACAGCTAACCTCAGTCCAGCCCTGTTACTGCTGCTAAAAAAAAAGATCACAAATAAGAAACAAACCATAAATAACGAAGTAAACACGGGACACTATAAAGATAACTGCGGAAGGGAGCACAGAAACGTGGCACTAGTGTCCGTGGTGCTGAAGGGGGATAGCGTCCACTGCGCGGAGGGGCGGAAAGGCGTGACAGTGTCCGCTGGGTGCGATGCCCGAGTGCGAGGTCAGAGGTACCGGAAGGGGGCTGACTGATGGCTTGTTCCTGCTCTCGATAAGCCGCGAGTCCGACGAAAGCCGCTTCGGTTGTTCGGGGCCGCCCCGCATTTCTGGCTCGATGACGGAGCTGGATGTTGCGGGAAGCCGGGCCTCTCCGGTGGTCAGGGAGGCCGAACCAAAATGGCTGCGAGGCGCCCTGGCGTTGGCGGGCAGCATATAGCTGCTTTCAGCTGGCCTCGCGCAGGAGCCATGGTGGAAAGGCAGCACGGCTTCTTCGGCGACAGCCGAGAGCAGAGCACAGCAGGATGGTCTGATGTCAATGGGTCAATGCCCCCCCAGCACCTCCAGTGCCCGCATCGATGGGGGGGAAGCCGACGCACTCTTCGCGGGCTCGCACTGAAGCGTCACGCACTCACACGCACACACACCGCCGACAGCTGCGCGAGCGTAGGCGCAAAGCGTCCTTCGTCTCTCTCTCTCCCGGCAAGCACCGACACTCAAGGTCACACACAGCTCCCTTCGCGGTTGACGAAACGAACACGAAAAAAAAGTAAAAACAGAGCAAAACGACACTCAACATCTGACAAAAAACATAAAATACAAATATCACTTAATATTAGACAAAAGAAACAAAATACACATGAACACTTCAAAAAAAAAAAAAAGAAACACTGGCAGCAGACAGAGCGGGGTCAACTGCTTTACGAGAAAAGGCCGTAAAGAAGCTAACGTATACTGAGGCTAGCCAGTAAACTGAGGGCCTTCGGTTGCGGAGAAGTCCGCCGTCCGGCGCGAAATCACAAAGGTGACCGCTTCCTCAGATTATACCGGCGCGGGGTCCGAATGCGGTCCGCCGCTCCGGGTGTGCCCCGTTGCTGGCGCGAAGTGCCGCAGGGCACTGGCGCGAGCTCGTCAGACCGTGACAAAGGGCTTCAGGTCTGCGATGTGGGCACGGCTGAGTTTTCCCAAAGGGGATCTTTCAGCTAGTACGCGCCACGGACGCTCACTGACAATCGGTTTATAAGACCGGGCGGCTTTCCAACCCTTCGCTCAACCGTTTGTCAGACGTGGCAGGCACGGAATAGCGATAAAAGCCACGCTTCGTGCCGGGCCAGGTCACAACATTGCTCAGTTTGCAAAACCTTTCGAGCCACTCAGGTGACCGGCCATGGATTCGTCGTGAGAGGATCGCAACAGTGCGGCTCTCAGACTTTTGGGCATAACCACTTTAAACGGGTCGCTGGACTCGTCGTCAGTGGCTATATACTTCAGCAGGAGCCCGTCATGGTCCAGCAAATATGAATCCGCCGGGGACTCAGCGACACACGCTGGTTCGAGCCCCCTATTCGCGCCCGCTGCAGGGCAAGCAGCGTCACGGCGCTCCGTCTCGTCGAGACAGTCGTTATCGGCGCCCGCTGCAGGACAAGCAGCGTCACGGCGCTCCATCTCTCTGAGACCGTCGCATATTTCGCGACAAAACGGGTCACTTTGCTGGGCCTTCAGAAGCTCTTCTCTGCTGAAAGCGATGCCCATTCTCCCAAAATAGGGGAGTCTGGTATCGCGCCCACTCAGGACCGCAGCAACAACCGCTTGAGTCGGCGTTACGGGTTCGCTCTCGGCCTCGTGGCCTTCGGAAAGCTCCCCCGCTCGGCCGCTTCGCGGTGCGCCGCTTACCTGGTTAGCAGCCAAGGTTTGTCCGCATGGGGACTCACCCTTCTCGCCGACTGGCGGCGAAGCTGCTGTTTCGCCCCCGACGCTTGCATGTGCTAAGGCACCGCGAGCGGCCGTCGCACCGAAATCCAGGTTCTCGGCAGACAACAGGGGGCACGAGATAGCGCGTCAGCTACCACGTAGGAGTGTATTCACCACAAAAAGGGGTGACGACACAGGCGAGCGCCGAAGGGCGCCCGTCGATAGAGGCGGTGGCCTCTTGGTGCAACGCGGCATGCCACGAAGCAGACAACGTTCGGGTAGGGCAAGAGGCCCATTCCGAAGCGACGCGCCATCTCCAAAGGGAGCGGCAAGGCGCCTCGTGTCGTCACCGCAATAGGGGGTGCCGACACGGACGGGTGCAGAAGGGTTCCCGTCCATAGAGGCAATGGCCTCCGTGTGCAACGCGGCATCCGCTAAAAGGGACAGCGGACAAAAGTCCCGCGAAGCAGCCATGTTGCGACGAGCCCGAATCGCGCAGGCGAACTGACTCGCTAAGAGCAGTCAAAAGCTAGAGCTTTTGATACCGCGTTGGGCGCCAGTGTGGTGTACACGTATCCCGAAGGAGTACGGCCACCAGCGTGGGTTCGGTCTTAGCGAGCCGCAGGGCACGCGTTAACCGTCGCCGTGGCGGGAAACACGATACTGCTCAAGTCGCAACACTTTATTGTGGCAACACCAAACGCAGTACAGCCCGTTGCAAATAGGTGCGGCGGGAAAGCAAGTAGGCTTATCCACGCCACGGGCACAAAGTACTACACAGGGGTGCCACGAGCACGTCTCCGCGGTAAAGGTGATCCACGGAGACACCGGAGCAAAGGCCCGGTTGCTCGAGCGAGGGCAAAGGCGCTCGCGTTGGCTTCGAAGGGAGACGGGTCGGCGTAGCTAGGCCACGCACTAGGACACCGTACTGCCCTTCGGCCGTGAGTACGCAGCGGGGCAACAAAAGGTGAGCGTTCGCGTCGGGCGCGAGGCGCCGTCAGCGAAGTCCGACGAGCCCCGAGCGACGGGACTCGACGGACGGAAAAGAATGCGTGGCTCACCGTTTGAAGTCCCGGACTGTACTCACCGCTCCCGACGCAGCGCGCGAAAACCTCTCGGGAGGCTCCCCGCGCGGCGCCACAGTCAACATCCGCTACCGGGTGAGGGAGGTAAACGTCACTCCGCCCTTCCCGGCGCGGCAGACAGCAAAGGAGGGCAGACATGTCGGGACATGAGAATGGCAGGAAAGGCGGTAAAGCCCGCGCAAAGGCAGCGGGCCAGCCTCAATTCCCACAGGCTGTAGAACAGTTTTCTGGCTGCCCTGATTTCTGCCTGCCAGGTTGGTCCTAATGTCCCACAACCTCTTTTACCCATTGTCCATGGATGGCTTTCGAAACTGTCGAGCAACAAATGCGATGGCAGACCCAGCAATTCATCAATGCTTCACCCAACCAGGGCACTACGCACTCACAACACGTTTTCTGTAGGACTGCAGACACCTGCACCGTGCAGGTCATGGCCATCCAAAATATGGTTGTTTGTGGGTGGGCATGCGCAACTAGCTAGGGGCGGAACAGGGAGCCTCAAATACACGGGTAAACATTTCTTTGTAAACCTAGTTAAATTTATGGGAATACGGATTACGAGAGTAGATGTAGCATATATTTCCAGCTTTCGATTTCAACACTAGTGTTACAGAAAATGTGATAACTAATAGTGCAACTATTCACAACAAAAATAGCTTTCAAACTAAGGATTGGCAAATGAAAAGTTTGGCGTTTGAAGCAAATTTGAAGCGAACACGTTCGAATTGTACATGTCACAAATTACAGGGTTATTCCAAGTGAAATGCCCCAGCCCGAAATTCAGCCACTGGCGGTCCTATAACAAAATTGAGCTGGAACGTAACTGTGAAAGAGTGACCCAAGTATTTTCGTTCAAAAAAAATTACGTAGTCATGTGAACACCCTTTGAATGTTCCAGTGAAAAGGAAAAGTTAGGTGGGAATAAATTATGCATATTCAACTTTGAGACTGGGTACAATGGCACATTGCATTTCAAATCATTCTATATTGAAACTGTTTTTTTCATGTGACGTCACAAGTAAAACCATATATTATTTTTTAGCACAAATAGCTTTGGCAAAGAAACCAAAAAACATGGAAATTCAGACCATTTCAGTAAAAATAGCGGCAACATCCTAGACTGCAAAAATCTGTTTCCATGTTTAGAGGTCAACACAGTACCTGCTAAAAATATTTTCAGCCTTTTTAACCAAACATTTATTGAGAAAAATGTTTGTAAAGCTGACAAGAAATATTCTCGGGAGATTACTCATAAATTAAGCATCCAATCCTTTTGAATAAATATATATGAAAGGGCTCATTATATGATTCAACATCTCCTCTTGTCACGTGAAAAGCTTTATTTCTGTAAATTTTCTTTAAATTCAAAAAAGAAAGAAAAAGAAAGCCAAGCCTGTGCGGGACTTCCGAACATTCGCAGCGTAACCTTGAGGAGCGGCCTTCTTAAAGACCATTATAAACTGTTGGGGCAACTAGTGCCAGTACAGGTGGTAGGTGCCCGCTGAACCATAATTCTAATCCTTTGGCCAAGTAGGGCACAGCCCACTACGTTAGAATAACTAAGATAATTCAGCGCCCAAACCTGAATACTCCACATCTAGCTCTTGGAGAGATGAAATAAGGTTGGTACTGGTTCTGGCACACCCATTTTTATGGATGAAGCTTTTCAGTAGCTTGTTGTCAGGAAGCATTTTGAAAAGGAGTTGGGTGAGCTTTGCAATAGGGAAAAGTATGCCTCGAAGGACATGCACCATAACAGCAAGGGTGTTGCATTGTTTGTAAATGTCTAACAAGAGCCAGTGATCGATGACCTTCCACTCGTTTCGGAAGCAAAGGTCACACCGAGGCCCACTTGCATGCAGCGTGTGAACCAGGCGTTGTGGGGATCCTTACTATTTACGTTGAAATCCTCATAACGATCAGAGGCATGTCTTCTTATAGAGCGAAGGTGTGGATCAGGAAGTGAGCATTCCGGCTGTGTTCAGTGCTTGGCAACATACACCGAGACCAGCCCAATGCCTTCGGAATTGCGTACTGCGCAGGCATAGGAAAACTCGACATTTAGGTCAGCGACATTTTGGCGATGGCCTTGTTGCATTCTATAGTAATTTGATTACCAGAAACAATGTCCTTGACATCACATCCATATGCCTTCTGCGGCACCTGGAGTGTTGAACGCTTTGACATCCTTGTTTGCATAAAAAAGGCAGACGGCACAATTGTAACCTTTACACTCAGAAAGAAGTATGTACCATATTTACTCGCATAATAGGTGCACCTCCTGTTTGGTCATGAGAAATCAGGCTTTTTTATTTCCGCGTTAATAGGTGCCACCTAAACTTGGCCGCGATCAGTATTTCTGTGCCATATTTGCACAGCTGCAATTAGACGCCTTCTTATGTTAACTGAAGCGAGAAAAAAAAAAGAAACAAAAACCCCGGCGGCACTGTGCCAGCTCCGCATGTTCACCAAGTGAGGAAGGGAGGTTGCTTGGGTGTCGGAGTAACTTCTGCACCGACGTCGGCGTGGCCCCGTTGCCGCTAGCTAGCCGCACGCGCTCCGCATGGAACGCACAATCGCGTCCCCGTCAAGTGTGCATTTACAGTAAAAGCTCGTTAACTCAAATCTCACGGGACCGGAGAAAATGTCTGAGTTAACCGAATTCAGAATTATCGAACGGACCATGAAAACAAAAGTAAAACGTACACGGCACAGACAAACCTTTATTTCTTAAAAAAGTGTGTTATTGTTGCCTGCCTCGCCGTCAGAATTTCTGACAGAACGATCTTATTTAATCCCATCAGGTGGTGGTGCGCACGTTCACTGTCGCGAGAACAAACGGAGAACTCGTCGAGGACAGCGAGGGCTTCGGCGGCCTCCTGCACGGTGCAGCGACATTGCGTCGGCTCATCACGTCTTTCAATATCATAACCTTTCTTTCAAGATCATTTGCTGGCTGCTGTGGCCGCTTAACTCCTGTGACAGTTGCCATGAAGCGCGACGGCGGCGACAACGCGCACAAACACAGCTGCAACACGCGAAGTCACAACACAAGAACCAAGACACGAAGTAGTACACTAGTAGGTGTAGCATGGGCATAGCGAGCAGCTGTTAGTAGACAATGGATGCGCCGGTGGCCCAAGCACTTCGGCCGGGTGGTGACTAACGCCACCTAGTCCCTTCCCCCTCATTCACTATCATCATTGTCTTATTCTGCTGCAGTTCACTCGGTTTCAGTTTCTCCAAAACTCCGGTTCTGCCATCGGTTACGGCAAGCGGTGCTTGAGCCTCCAAGCTGCCGAGATCGCGCGACTCTGGAGTCCCGATAGTCCCTCTCCGGAGTTGTCCGAGATAACCGGTGTGTGCCTAAATCCCTCCGAATTAATGAGCATTTGACCTCATTAAAATATACACAGTTTTGCCGGGACCGCGCCGCGAAGTCCGAGTTAACCGAATTTCTGAGTCAACGAGGACCCGAATAAACGAGCTTTTACTGTAGTTTCCTGTCAAGAAAAGCATCATCGTTGTCACGTTTACTATCTAGTCCGAAAATTTAAAAGCATTTCCACTTCCCCAAGCGAACTTTCACCTTCGCTGCTACGGCTGCCACTACACAGACTTGCACAAGCTTAACGGACTTACGGACTTTTGTCGCCATTGATTTTTTTTGCCGTGAACCTAAACATCGTATCACGCACGCTGCCCTTGAATCAGTGCTTGAGCGCAATCTTTTCTATGCCCAATCTTCATGTTTAGTATAATTTTCCCGCAACAACATACCGAACCATAGGCTAGGCCTAATGAGCGTTGGTTGCTTTTTCTGTGGTGTTCGCAATCTACTAAGTTGCGGTTTTGTACAGAATCAACGTAACTCTTTTTGGTGGCTCTACTTGAAGGAAAGGGTGGCTTGGGTGGAACTTGTAACATTCAAATGGAAGTTCGTGATTGGATTGCAATGTATTAGATATGGGGTACAAGCCCATGAAATTGAATGATCGGTACCATTCACATGGGGCATATGCTTCATAAACACTAGTACCGCTCCGCACAAAATTTTAATCGTGATAATTTCCATAACTTAGGTGACTAAAAAACTTAATCCGCGAGTTTCTGCGATGGTGCTTTCGCTTTGTCATTCTCCTCCCCCCGTGTTCGTTTCACTGGCAACGTGGGTCTTTCTATGGAAATTTTTTTGGAAATTTGAATGCACACTGCATAGCATGCCTCCATTCTCTGACACATGAGACTGCATGCTCCATGCGTTTTATGCTAGTGTAGTCGATGAAGAAGGTCGTTTTGCTTGTACTAGTACGGATATTTGTGACTTCAGCAACGTATATGTGACTAACAGTTCATGCTGTGGTCCTAAATAAAATTTTCGGAAATTTTACCGCTTGCAATAGGGCCCACCGCGAACTTGGCGACAGATTTTCTGGAAAAAAGTGTGCCTGTTATGCAAGTAAATATGGTATTGGCTAGCCTGAATTATAGGTGACTATTCTTCTAGCTAATTATGACAGAGCCCTTGAATCACCTTTAGCCGACTAGTAGTAGGAAGGTCAGGGATTGGAATACCACCAAATAAAGGGATGACTTTTTGTCCACTTTAATGCATTTCAATTTACGTCATAATTACTACACTACCATGAAATACACCAGCTGATGTTCTTTAATGGGGAGCAGTTAGAGCTTTTCTTAAACTAATTGTCTGTAGGATTTATTTGGATGAATCTAACATTTAAGTAGCATTAGGACTCTCTGTAGCACAATGCAGGATTTCAAGTCTAGAGTCGCAAAATGGCCACGTAATCTAATGGTATGAACCTTGGCGACCCCAAAAGCTTAAGCTTATTGCCACTGCCTTTCTGCAGGGCAGCAACGAAACATCATCATCTCAAAATTGTGCATAAATGTGTTCTTTATAAGAGGCATGAGCATACAGTGTTTCATGGCACAATTATATAAAAATTTAAGTACTTTATTATGTAGAGAAAATTGTTATATTGCAGTTTGTTATGTTGAGGTTGAACAAACAAGAAAGTCAAGTGTGATCCATTTTTGCATACCGAAATAGTGGCCCACGCCGAATGCGGCAGCAGCAACAGCCACAAGAGCAGCCATGGCTGTCAGAGCCCAGTTGAGCCGAGTGTTCGGCACATGCTTGTACCGGCGCACTCCAGACCGCATCTCGAGTCCTGATGGCAAAGAGGCATCCGATGCCACAGAAGCTGTATCCATCCAATCCGAGCCACCTGGCACTTCCAAGTTGCCATAGGAACTTGCAGTAGCTGCTGCATACGAAGATACAGTGACTTCAGAGGTGGCATCAAAATAGTTAAAAAGCGAAATGCAATTGCTTATGGAACTCAACGTGCCAATGTGACTCAAGCTATGAGAGACACTGCAGTAGTATGGATAATAATGATCACTTCTGGTTTTTTAATGTGCACAGCAACTGCACAGTACACAGGCTGCTAGCATTCTGCCTACATTTAATCTACACAGTCGTGGCCAAACTCAAACCAGCATATTTGGGTGCAGAGCTGAGCACTGCATGCACCGTACCATTGCAATGGCCCCGGACTCAGAGTTATATAATGAAGGCAATAAATCTAGGCTGTAGCACCCTTAGATCTTTCACATGGTGTGATGCTACTGCCCAAATGTTCTGGCATTGATGCCCACAGGAGAAGCACAAAGGTAGGCAAGATTGCAGGTATTTACGATGAGTGTACTAAACAATAACGCGGTAAATCTTACTAGAGGATGTCAGTTAAAAACGTTGCTCACTCTTCAGTGCACAAATAAACAAAGGCAAAAAAAAGAAAACAGTGCTGTGCCTATCGAAATTTTGTTCTTTCCTTGTTCGTTCATGCACAAAAAATGAACATAAATTACCCATATGCCCAAGCATACAGGAAGAACTTGATTTTGGAACATGTCAGCCACTCCAACTAACACTCTTATGTGGGCCCCAACCAGTTACCCATTCGTGGTTGAAGCTGAGCATTAAGGTGAGACCAGGTGACGTAGGCCTTCTCATGCAGCAGAGGACACAGCTTCTATAGCACAAGCCTGCAGACAAGCTTCTTCTACTGTAAAGTGAAACCTCTTTATCGTTAGTAAGTAAAAATTGTAAAAACACCACCTCTACATTGTAAGCATCTTAGTTGTGCTGTTCTTCCTAAGCATCTGCTACCAATCACAATAGACTCAAAGACTAGAAAGCTCCTAAATTCTATTTTATGTCTCTACTATGATTGGTTTCATGTTTGCATTCTGCACTTATGTTCATCTCTCAATAAATAGAACTCCTGTTAAATGGAACAAATTTTCTTGATCGCTTCATGTTCCATTTAAAGAGTTTACTGTAGCTACCTTCACACTAAATGTATTCCCATGTTGCTTAAAGAACAAGTGAATGATGTATTGACACAACATGCATAATACGCATCGGTTTAAAGGAAACATGAGTCTTCAAGCTCTTTTTGGTTGTTTTTGAATCTAATTTGCTAAGAATTGGCATGCATGTTTAGTTTCTCCTTTCGAGTGATTCCAAAGATGCAGTTATTTTTTCTGTAGGTTCCGTGCTTTAGGACATAATTAGAAAGACAATATATTTTGTTCTTACTTCAACGGAGAAATAAACACCCCACAGAAATATGCAAGTGGCATATACATTGATAGGAGAAAGCACAAGGCTCGCCACAAAGAAAGCATCTTTATGATTGCATAATTATTTCTTTCTTTACAGTACTCTTTTGAACCTGGCCATGCAGTGGTCAAACAAAAGCAAATTTTAAAAACCTTCGAACAGAACTAATTAAAATGTGCTTGCTAGGTTGTGCGCTCAAAATCCTCTGCTCTGTGCAGCAAAGAGAGCTTTGTTCTTTACGAGAAAGCCACTGATATCTCGCAGTAGATGTTTTGCTGGGCATCTAAAATAGGTATTATGAGAAAATCAAGAAAATTAACAATTGTGACATTCCACTACGAAGAAACACAAATGTATGTGCAAATGCGCACTTGCAAACTTTCACTTGGCCACAATAATTGGACCCTCAAAACAGAAAAACGCAAGCGTCTGCGTGGCATCACTGAATATGTTACTTTAGCATCAACACAGGCAGAAAAAATTAAGGTGTCTTAGATGTTTCCTAATTAATGATAGAGCTGAAATATTAACCTGAGAGACAGGAAACTAGCAGTAAGGGGATAACAGATGCAGATTCCAAAAGTGATATTCCCCAAAAATCTAATTTCTTAATGATTTGGGGGAAGACCAACGTCTCAAGGAAACTCTTGCCAGTCAGTAATCCCACAAAACCCACACAACTTTAAAAAATTAAGTTGGTGGTAGTGGTGCATTAAACTGCATGTAGCTCTGAGAAAAATGATAGACCACTTCCTTTTTTTGTGGCAGTGCACCCACCAAAAAGCTTCAATTTATTGCCTGACCATATTTTTGTGTTATATATCAAAATCAATGATAAACATACTCAATTATACTGAGGTTAAGAAAATGCATGATGTTCTATGAACATGAAGTTATAAGAAGTTAAACTATTAGTTGAAGTGATGAACCAATGACTAGCCATTACTTCAAGCCTCCAGCTTCGCCTATATTGTGCTTAGTTACAGAGTGTGTACCTGTATTTCATTCCCCGAAGTGTCGCAGAAAGATAGGAATGTTCGAGATGTGACATACCAGATATCTCACTAAAGCCCATGAGTGATGCTGATGTATTTCCTATAGCAGAAGAGCTCAGAGATTCGATACTATGGTCGGTGTCATCATCAATAATGTCGATGTCGCTGTCTCGGTTCCCAGTGTTGGCATCCCTGTCCCCACCAGATTCAGCATCCACTTCCTTCTTGGGGTCCCCCGTGTCCATGGCCTTCTCCCGACTGACGTTGGCGGCACTGCAATGACACAGGTTGTTGGATGGTTCCGACTCCACGCTGGTGTCAACCACTTGTCATGCAATGCGAATCAAAATGACTATGAAAACAAAAGGGACATTGAGTTTAGCTTAAACAGAATATCAAGCATGTCTCATAATGAACTGTACACACAATAAAAGCAACATGCTCGTTACTTGCTTTGCTTAACACATTTTCTTTCATTAAAAATATGAATTATTATTATCAATAAAAATTATATCAAATTTAATCTCAAACCATTGTGAGAACTGCCATTGCTTTCCATTCCTCTATGATCTCTCACACATAGAGTAAGTTAAAAAAAGAGTAGAGGTACACAAGAACACTGGGGAGGTATCAAGAAAGTGGGGGAAAAAAAATAGAGGCAAGGAATATACATATTCTGACCAAGATTAGGAATAGCATATATTACTGCAACTTGGTCTGCCTTTGGCCACAATTATAGTGAACTAGTGGTCCAGTGGCATGAATTACATTGTTCCAGTGGCATGAACAGTGAGGTCTCACCAAGCCACTCTGGTATTGATACCAATAGGTGTCATCAATGCAACATTTAATGGGTGTAGCAGTACGTCGTCTGCAAAAATAGCCTGCATATGTCTTTTGCAACTCACACACTGGTGCATGTTACCAATTAAATCTTTGGCCATTGGCATTCATAATTTCATGCTAATTATTACTACTAAAACCATCCGAATGTGCCATTAGTGATTTCACCTGTTTTAAAAGAGCCGTTTAAGACACGTTCATTCCTTACTTTTCATCTAATGGCAAATCTTCGACGCGGCTTCCTTCTTCTACCGTTGAGGCTGGAGGATCCTGCAGCATACAAAATCTGACATTCTTCATCTCATTCGCTCATGGATCAGTAACTACACAATGACTACGTTAATATAAGTGACAGAAAATAAGTGACAAAAAATGATAGGGGGAGTTACATGAAGAAATTATGATACAAATGTGAAGAAAGTAAAGACTAGAAAAAGATGACTTGTCGCCAGCAGGAACCGAAGTTGCCACCCTCAGATTACGTACCCGATGCTCTCACCAATCGAGCAACTGCAGCGGCCATTCGTAAGTTCACACCATCGGGTATATTTATGCATTTAAACCTGGAAATGCTAGTCCGTACTAACCATAGCCATGGCAGCTCTCACTAACGGGACTCACTCGCTTGATTTCGTGCCGACCGGTTGTGCCCCCGCGATCTCCGACTACAGCGCAGCTCTGGCCAACTGGGCTAGTACTACGCCAACTCCTGACGCCGACAACAACTCTCGCTGAGTGGTGTCCCGTCCTCAGACTCCTGCGACTGTGTCTATCTTTACTATCTTCTCCTTACTTCCATATGTGGGTCTCTCTGTCCCTGCCCCACTCTCTGTCTCTATACATTTTAATCCTCCCTATCCTTTTAATCCCTCTTTACCCCATCCCCCATGAACTACTGTTGAGGTGTCGCACTATGATGCAGACAGTTACGGGGCTCACTTTTGTCTTATTTTCTCTCTTTTAAGAACCACTTTCACAGCTCTGACTAACACTTCCAGGTCTAAATGCACAGATATACACAATAAAGTAGACAGGAGGATGACCGTTTTCTCAGCTCAATTGGTGAGAGCATCGGGCACGTAATGCAAAGGTTGCAGGTTCGGTCCCTGCCGATGGCAAGTTATCTTTCTGTCCACTTTACGTCCTTTTATTTGTAGTTATTGTGATATGAATGTGAAGAGAGTAAAGTGGACGAAAAGATCACTTGCCGTTCGCAGAAATCGAACCTGCAACCTTCAAATTACACGACTCATGCCCTACCTATTGAGCTAGGATAGAGGTCATCTCTGCATCCACTTCAATGGGTATATCTGTGCATTTAAGCCTGGGAGTGTTAGCGCCCATCGCAGACATGATAGCGAGTGTGAAACACTTTTTTTTTGCTTGCTGGAATCACATAGCACGTTATCTTCTAACGAGCTGGCAGCTGACCAATAATCCCTCGTCTCGCATACTAACCTGAAGGAATCAAGTCTGCCAGAAAAATTGATTGATTGGTATGTGGGGTTTAATGTCCCGAAAACCACCACATGATTATGAGAGACATCGTAGCGGAAGGCTCAGGAAATTTAGACCACCAGGGGTTCTTTAACGTGCACCCAAATCTGAGCACACGGGCCTACAGCATTTTCGCCTCCATCGAAAATGCAGCCGCCGCAGCTGGGATTCGATCCCGCGACCTTTGGGCTAGCAGCCGAGAGCTATAGATATTGACTTGAAAATGAAAATTACATGTCTGTCAAAGGGATTTTTCTGGTTGCTTTAAGGAACATAGGCATATGCTGATAAACATTGTACCTTCAACTTGAGTTTGTAGTGTGAGCACTTTACCATGACAACTAGCCCTCTAAAGAAAGTATCCTAGCAGTGAGGCATGTCACATTTACTCTCACACACAAACACACACATTTTAAAATAACACATTTTCTAACAAAATAGTGTTTTCAATACAGACATGTCGTCTGTGGTGCCGGACATGTGTCTGCGAGTGATACGTGGCAGTCTAATAGCTAATTCAGGAGAGATTCAATATTTAACCTATTAATTGAACCTATTAATTTAATTAGAAAACTGTAACAACCACTTTTGAAATCCATATCAACTTTTTTGATTTCGAAAACTGCAAGCAGCTGTGAAACTGTGCCAGGATGAATTCTGGTTCTCACAGCACATGAAATTAAAGCCATGGTGGCATGCATGACCACCCCCTCATGATGATTCTGCACTATATAGTGTAGTATACATGACAACTATTCCCATAATAAAAGCAGCACCAGCTGCCTAGAGTTGCCTTGCCACCCCCCCCCCCCCCCCCCCCCAAAAAAAAAACACGGCTGTTCGAAGCATGTTGCAAAGCATGTTTACTAATGTTATTTTGCTTGTTCATTGTAGTTTTGGTTCACTCTACCAGTAATTTAGTGGCTGTTTTAATTGCTATTGTTAGTATTGTTTGTGTTTAATGGTGTTCCCACTTCTGCTTGGGCCCGAGTAGGGCCTACAGTATTTGTAAAGGAAAAAATTAATAAAAAGAAAGGGAGGGGACTAACAGAAGATTAATGAACAATGGATGCTATGTCAAGTCCGTGACGTACATGTGCCGTTTAATGTAACATTGCTTTCCTTCAGTGAAATAAACCTAACGTACATGTACACAAAAACAGAAAACTGAGCTGGCTAACTGGTCCATTAGTGGCATAAAAATACCCGTGATTACAATAACGCTCATACTAAAGATAATTGAGGTTTCGGGTTATCGCTCTGAATGTGCTGCAGTAAAAAGGAAGCCTGCATGCTTCTCTTCATAAAACCGTAAATATATTTTTTTGTGTGTCTGAATCCACCAGGACAATGACTTTATAGACACAAACGAACTTTAAAACATGTACAGTGCATGCGGTAAAACAAATTTCGCATATTCATACATATCTATATGCATCACATGTAATAATATGCTTTATTCCAACGACCGGTGCACTTGAAAACATCTTAAAAAGTTGTTCACTAATAGCTTAAAGAGTTTGGTGATAGGCAATAAAAATTTGCTGTTGTAGTAGTTGAACTGACGTCCATAAAACACACACAAAAATAAATAACAGCAATGTTACGCCAAAAAGAAAACGTCTAATGGCCCAGACCACTATCTAAAAAACTGGCCGGGCCGGTCTGGAACCAGACAATTGGCAACCCTACAGCTGCCCGCACGGACAACCTATTTATGAAAGCGTGGTATCTTATGACTGAGTGCTGGAGGTGGGTACTGCCCTTCAGCGATTCCCAAGGGCATCAGTGGGGGAACGAACAATAGCTGGCAGATATCTGGAAAGGAACACGCCCCCAGCGCGTGATAAGATAGCTGTACAACTTTCACCCTCTCACATTCATCAATTGCCTTCGTGTGTGACAGCAACTAAGCACGTGCAAGAGACAACAGAGCACATGCTCGGAGTAGTGCGACAGACACTGCATAAACTTTACACGGCAGTAGTCTCAAATACTCGACGGCGCGGATTTAACGCAGAACACAGGGAGAACAATGACACACAGGACCTGTGTCATGCATTTATTCTGTCCTGTGCAGCAATTTTGTAAGCACAAACAAGCCTAAAAAAAATTAGATGTTACATGGCAGACTTCTGAAAATGCACACACACAGAAACATCTTTCACGGTCTTCTTAATTCGGCAAGTGCCCTTAGTTCTTTACGCGCGTTCACAGATTTGTATAGTTGGTCATTTCATTGAGTGCAAATAGGATCCACACTTTAGGTAAGCGGGAAAGAAAAAGGGGTAAGTGACATATCGATCACACAGCTGTCGCGTACTTCTTCCGTACAGAAGAGGCGCGCGTGTGTACGCAAATGTTTGCAGCGGTGGGCCAGCCATCGTGCTGGGCACAAGATGCGGCGATGCCTCTGTAACCAACGAAATCACCCCCTATGAAAGGGACCGAATCGATCCCGAAACGCCGCGCTACTACAACTGAGGTCAGTTCTTTTGACTTTCTAAATCGTCCGCCCAACCAGACAGATTTCTGTCCAATAGCTTACATTTGAGGGACGAGCAAGCTCGGAAGACGGTCAGTCCAAATCCGCGCATAGATGGGCATGAAGAGCAGTTTCGCGAAGTGTGTCGATTCTTTATTAATTTGTTTATCCACCTTAAATGTCTCCTGTCCTCGCCAAACGATTACATGCAATGCAAACCAGGCTAGACTTACCAGTAGTTCACCCTCAGACGGCATAAACGTCCAGTCTCCGGGAAGATCGCTCTGACCGGAGACGTCCATCGTCGTAAGATGCCAGTTTCTCCAACAGTGACAGTCGTCAAAAAGCTTGCCAGCTCAAGCCATGGGAATTTGATTACAACTATAACGCAGAAACGGAGAAAGTGCAAAAGATCAAATAGAGACGTCAAAAAGACCTTTATGCTCCAAAACGCGTAGCACACAGCCTGTAAAGCAAGCTATATACCCAGCCCTCTCTCAAAGTACGTAAGGACACGTATCATTACAAAACGCGTTTCTGAACTGCCCTATATACACAGAACCGAGTCCGATAACCTTCCTCTCTTACAGAAGTCGCTGCTGGCTGGTGTAACAACACGAGACAAGTTGCGTGATCAGCGGGAGAGGCCGCAACAAGCCAGCTGGCCAGTGATAGAGGCGCGTCGTTACCATGTAAACAATTCAGATCCGCATTTTACTCTGCAGAGCATCGTAGAGCAATCGCACAGTAGAGCTTCGCGCATACAGTGCAGCGTCTGCCCGACTTCGTGCGTAGCGACCACAACTAGATAAACAAACATGATCACAAAAGTCAACAGCCTTACCAAAAAGCACATGGGTTCATCCTCTCATTAGCACCTGCTGCACCTCACAGCATCGTCAGAAACACAGCATCGGTGAGAAGACAGCAGGTGCACCACAGCTCCAAAGCCAAGCCAACAGAAATATAGTGAGAGTACAGTCAGAGAACACCTGTACCATAGAGCTAATATACCTGTACAGTAGCACACTTACACAATCTACATGCTACCCTATCGTAATGATGATGATAGTTTTAACAATGTTTGAGCAACATTTTATGGTTTGAGCCACTTGAGTTTACAACGTCTGTATATTAGCTCTATGGTTACCGCTACCTTTGTTTCCGTTTCACTGTCAAATGCACAGTTTCCGTTTTCTAGATTTTGCGTTCGTGTAGCCACGGAGGCAGAATTCCTTCCTCCGTGGATGTAGCCCTGAGTCCTGCGGCGTATGTACAGTACAACCAGCCAAAGATGCCCGCCGTTTTTACCACTCGAAATAGAGTGCAATTGTCGAGGCCTGTTTGGCCACTTGGTCTGGCGACAAATACACACGCGAGCAGCAACTATATAGTAGGTGTTCTGTGTTTAGGAACGATCGCTTGCGATAGAACAGTAGCTTCTCTGGCCATTACAAAAAGTCTGCGTTTTGTTTGATGATGATGATAGCACTTGCAGCGTCATCTCCCCTTGCGTTATTGCAGTTCACTACGCCGCCGCTCTTTAGTCCTACCAATGGTAGGTGTTCTGTGACCGCAAGGTTTATTCGCTAAATACCAGTCTGCAACAACACACGTATTCAACGCCGTGAATAGTACCAGAGCAGTCCTGCCAGTTTTGAAGGCGGTTCAGCCGCGGAAAAATGTCTCACTGTGCAAGCAAGCCTTCCTTCTAGTCAGCGATCGTAAATGTGGTCAACTAATGCAGTGACCTAGGCGCCTAGTTGCACGATATGGCATCGAAACTCACCGCTACAGTTCGTGCGGTTGGCTCCAAACGGCTCAGCGTACCACAACGGGCAGCGCTGGTACTTACCAAAGCAGCGGTGGATCGCATCAAAACTTTACTCGCTACGAAGAGAGATGTTATCGGGTTGCGAGTCGGCGTCAAGCACAGGGGATGCAACGGCCTCACTTACGTTTTAGACTACGCGACCGAGAAAGGCAAGCTGGACGCTGAAGTGCAACAGGACGGAGTCAAGGTGTTCATCGACTCCAAGGCCCAGCTAACACTTCTTGGCACAGAAATGGACTATGTTGAGACGGAGCTGTCCAGCGAATTTGTTTTCAACAACCCTAACGTCAAGGGAACGTGCGGTTGCGGTGAAAGCTTTACAGTATAAACTATCGCACGGTTGTAGCGAAGTTGTTGAGAATGAGTTAGTCTGTTAAATAGTTGAGCAGTTGGTGACCTCAGTATGAAAATTAAACAGAAAAACTAGCAAAACCGAGTTTTATTTCCATTTACACCAGTTTAACAAATGCTGCGATTCAGCCACGCTATAGCACAGTATCATACAGGTCTCTCGACAACGTACTCCCATCAAACTCTTGACGCTGCTTCTGACACAAGTAGAATATTTTGTCATAGCAGTAAGCGAAGCTACGAATAATCAAGCGAAAATAAATTTCAGGAACCCACTCTCAAAATATTTTTTAACTAAAAAAAATGGCTACTGCATGTCAACTAGCATCTTTCCTCTGCAAAATTTTCATTATGTTTTCAAAGATAATAAAAAAATATTGTTTTCACACAACAGCATTTGAAAGTCAAAACCATGATTAACAAGATTAAATTCTTCCCGCAGGATGCCGTTGCAAATGCTCCTGCAGTCATTCAGCTCCATAGTTGAAGGTTATTTCTTTATGGTATAAATTTAGTCAGTGCTCCGCAACGCCACTGCAGTATGTCATCCCTCGCGGTCATCCAGACTGAGAACTAGCATGGAAACTGCACAACAAAACTCCGAAGTTGCCAAGGCGTATCTGAAGCACTTCCACAAGTACAGGCTAGAGTGCGACTTCCTTTGGTCTCAAGCTGCCCTTGAGGACACCCAACAAAAAGTGAGATCAGTTCGTCACAATGCTGCCTACTTGACCGGCTGTAGTTCAAGCCTGCAGTTCAGCTCATTGACACAATTAGAATCCAGCGAGAGTTCTATCATTTAGCTAGGAAAGAAAAAAGTATGGTGAGAAATACTGTTGGTGCACCCCAACAAATATAATTTTGGCAGATAACAAGCAGATGGCTTCAACCAACAGTTTGCCACAGTGAAAATTTTGTTCCAAGATGCAGGAAAACACTTGCAGCTTTTCGGATCTGACTGAGCAGTCACGGCTTTTTTCTTTTTTTTTTTTTTTCTGTCGAAGAACAGTCCTGCACACGGGATGAATTCAAACATCCCTAAGAACTGACGGCCCTCTCCTGGTCAGCAGTTGGGCTGTCGTCGTAAAAGTCCTGTTCAACTGGTCGGCCACGAATGTACAGCGGTGCACACTTTCCCATGGCACAGTCGTGTGTGATGTGCACACTCGTCACGTCTGAACCTGGGATCTCGAACATGGGCTCCAGAAGAATGGTCTCCTACAAGAAACACAAAGCACCGTGATTAACGTTGGAGTAACACAGCATATCTGCTAATCCGTGCAAACACTACAAGTGCCCCTGAAAGGCTCTTGAAGATTTAGTACGAACAAGTCCCTCGAACCAATAGCAGGCCACTCTAAGCAACCCATGTAAAGTGCTTGATTACAAGGATCTGAATATGCGTATTTAGCAAAATACTGTGCAAAGCTTAAGATTGCAGCCGTGTTGCCTAAATACGTAGATTTAAGCCACCCTTGTCCATAGCATCTTGTATGGGTGCACATCAACACGCAGATGATCCATTTTGTTCCACATCCCAATTATATAAACTCAATTTTCCCAGCTTGACTGCGAACATATGTAGCTTATTACAGTTGGATAATATTATAATTTGTTTCATTTTAAAAAGGCTAATAGAAAGATTCTATGAATTTACTTGGAGCACAAAGACATATACAAGAAAGTAGAACAAAACAAGGGCTCGCTGTAGAACAATCGAAACAAGCGCTGACCTAGTGCTTTTTTTTTTACTTCTTTGTGTCTCCTATTTCTTTGCACCTTAAGTGTACTCATGGATCCTTACAAACTCACCCAAGTTTCAGTTTCTTAAAAAAATACAAAATCTCGATAGAACTAAAAAAACTTGACAACTTTCGGTGAACAGCGAGCGTTGCCTGCCTGTTTTACAACATGCCCCAGGCGATGTAGGCTGTGTGAACAGTGCTTATCTCAAAATTTACCTTTCATAACACAATGAATCGCCCTCGCTGCATTCTGGTCTGGGAGTCTAGTAATGGGTATACCGTGCCAAGCTGTGACATCATGTGTTTGCGAAAAGCAAGTGGAAAGGTAGCAGCACTTCGATGCACGGATCATCGTTTTCTTAGTATATGATTGAAGCCAGCATCTACACATTTGCAACCATTGCTTTATAACTGAAGACTACCACCACTGACAAGTATTTGTGCTTATGAAAGATCATTGTCACAGAGCTTGAGTTTAATAATTGAAACTTGAGCTAATTGATATGCGTTCATCTTTGGTTGATCAGTGTGCTCGCCAGGCAAGGCCAAGAAATAAGAAACACAGGACAGATACTCACTCACAACTAAATCTTTATTAGGAAATAGAACATATTTCACATTTTCTAACAAAGAACCTATACCAAAACATCGAAAAAATGCACTTAAAAAGTATAGGTGCATATTATACACAGAAGTTGCATAGGTACGTTTTTGTCTTTATTTTTATAAAATAAAGTTAGGGGTGTGGGTTACATGCTATAAAATACAGTATATATGTGATGTACACCATGGCGGAAAAATGCCTCATAATAAAAGAACTTGGAAACCATGTTTTCCTGCAGACGCTGCTTAGACAGATAAATTCTGCACTACTAGGTGAAAGTGATGGCAAGCTGACACACTATCATCTTTCCTTCAAATGTAGAAGGCTGCAATGACCTTTTAGTTATCTATTGTTGATACTGTTAAAGTATGTTTGCGTCACTAAAGAGTGCACAGCTGCATTAGCGACAATGTGCGGCAAGGCTCCACCACTGACAATGAACATTCATGCCAAGGCAAATATTCGCACATCTTTCACTTTGGCTTACGGAAATTTTTTCCACATGGTAATGTTATCAGATAAACAAAGGCATCCTTGCAATCTGTGCAGTGAAAAGTGTAGTTTATTACCATAGTTAACAGGAACACTTTAAATAGAGAGTTCTTGAATAGGGGCCCCAATGCCCTTGGCTACTGGGCTAGTGCGAATAGTGAATTTTAGGTTCGAAGCGAATAGTGATTTTGGTTGAATAATTTCTAATTGAATTCGGATAGTATATATGGCACATAAAGAAAAATGGGCATATTTATCATGACATAACTAACCTGCACAATATTTTTTTTTAATTTAAATAGGGCCTCTGTGCAAATACCATTAGTTTTTTGTTTTTTTTTTTTGTTAAAAAGAAGTCAAAACAACTTTGAGTAGCAGCAGGATTTGACTTTCAGCAGGGATGCAAGTCATAACCCTTAAAATACGTAACATTTTAAAATTTGTTATACTTAGAGCATATAATGCCATCATAGAGCATATAGAGCATCATAGAGCATATATATAAGCCATCATAATGAGCTTTTAAGCTTAAGAAAGTGAATTGATTTGAGGGTAATATTTTTATTTAAAGGGGCCTCCCGTCTTTCAAGTAGCCATGGAATGGATTCACTAGAGAAGCTTATTGCCTACTGAATTCACCGCCGCAAAAATTTCTCGCACGCTGTAAATGCATTCTCTCTCCTTGTCCCGTCAAAAACGCTGGAAGCTTAGCAGAGAGGAATAGCACGAGGAAAGAAAATACGTCACACGTGCTTTCCGAGCTTGTGGAGTCATTTGCCAAGAGGGCAATTTTCAGCTGAGTTTGAGAATTTATTGTGAGTCGCACGCCGCGTGCTGCGCTCTAATATTTGGCCTGAATGTCTTCGGTAGCCTCGACTACCGATCGGCAGCGTTTTCTGACAATGCTCAAAAAGTGTTGCAGGGCCCCTTTAAATATGTAGGGGGGCTTCGCGGCAGTGCGGATTTCTTCTTAATAGGTGCTTTCACGGTTCAGCACCCCTACAATGCAGTAAAACTACCTTTACAGGCAGTACATTCGGATTAATATGCATTTATTCGTTCCTTGCGAACTACTTCGAAATTTTCAATAATTTAAATTCAAAGCGAATTCAATACCCTACCTATTCATTCGAATAGTGGAATCATTCGAATGGTCGCACAAGCCTACACAAAACCCAAATGCTGCTTGGGTCTCACACATGCACAGTGGCCTTGACCCTATATCCTGACTCCAAAAAAGCTGAGGCCCCTATTTTAAAGCTCCTCAACACCTTTGGTTTGCTTGTCAATGCTTTTCTGCACCTTTGTGCAGCTGGTTGCGAGCTTACGTGGAGTATGAATGAATGAATGAATGAATGAATAGACTTTATTTAGGTCCGGCAGTTTTACTGGGCGAGGTGGGGGAAGAGGGGACCTGCCCCTTCCCACTCTCTGTTGATTAGGATGGCGGTGCTTCAGGTGACCGCTTGAAGTCCTCGCACCCGGGCGGCAGAAAAAAAAACCCTCGTCAACACCATATTGTTGGGCAATACGTTTCGATCCGTGTGCCACATGCAGCTTCCTTTTTTCGCTACACAGATATATTCCTATGAGAGATTCCTCCCTGGACAGACAGATGGTGTCAGTGTAAGACGGTGCTCACCATGATAGCCCGCAGCCCTCTTGCACCGGTCTTTCGTTCCATGGCCAGATGAGCAATGGCTCTCAATGCCTCAGGCTCAAAGGTAAGTTCCACCTATAGACAAAACAAAAGAAAGTGCGAATCCTCTAAGCTACCAATATGGTCTTGATGGAAATGCAGTATGCAGGAGTGCAACAGCCAACATATAATTTGGGCCAATTTTTGGAGCAGGAAAATTCTAATATGTACACAAGGGCTTAAGCTTGTTGGAAATTCATGACAGTAAACTTACAGTGCAAGGACACAAAGACAAAAAAGTGGACACACAATGCTGTCTAACAAGATAGTTTTATTGCCACAGTCAATTAGTGTGCCTAATTGGGGGGTGCACAAGCAGAAGAAAGGAGGGGGGTGGGAGATGAAAGAACAACAAAAAAAAAGATGAATAAAAGGAAGCATTCATATAGCATACATGTTAAAAGTAACTGCAATCAACTGCAAAAATTTCCCAAAAGATAGCAAAAAAAAAAATTTATCACAATCCATCCACAAGGGAAACTTTACTAGCACAAGGGAAACTTTACTAAAAAAAGCACTGCCCAGTTTTCTGATGCAATCAGCGTCAATAATTTTGCATGAGCCAAGATTTATTGTTCAACACATGCATACTCAAAAATGTCCGTGCAGCCACAATCGATGCAACGAACTTCCAAACGCTTGCGCCGATTGTGAAAGTTCTGGTTTTCATTGAGCTGTTCATTAAGGCAGCTCTCAGTCTGCCAAACATATTTATCACCACACGACAAGGGGATTCGATAGACCACACCTGTGGCACATGACACAGAATGTAGTCTTCCAAGGACTACATTGGAACATGCAAAACTTGCCAAGCACATGGGAATAGAGTATGGGAGGAGACCCTGATGCCTCATCGAACACTTGATCGATCATGAGAAAAAGTAAGGGTTGGACTAATGGAGCAGCAAGGGAAACATTTCCTCATAACAGTAGACTACTTTAGTGGCTTTTGGGAAATTGGTCAATAGCAGTCTGCAACAACTACTGCTATCCTAAAAAACTGAAGAAGGAGACACTGGTGATTTCATCATCAGTGACAATGGGCCACACAATTTGCGCGTGTTGAATTTGAAAACTTTGCAGCACAGTGGCAATTCCAGCAGTGCACCTCACGCCCAGGGTATCTTTAAGGAAATGTGACTCATCTCACAACCTGCCAAAGAGGGAATTGGCCTTTCAGCAGACATTGCCACTATTGCCTGCTCACCCTTGTTCCAACATTATGTACAGTAGACTCTCAGTAAACGAAACCTGAAGGGACCGGGAAAATATGTTCCATTTAACAGAAGTTCCGTTTACTGAGAGGTGAACATGGATGCAGAATACTACAAGACCGAAACGAAGCATTGCAGACGATAGTTCTGTTTAAGCAGTAGTACCGTTTAACAGATTTCCATTTACTGAGAGTTTGCTGTAATTATCAATATAAAGTTAATGTGTAAACCATGCGAAAGATCGTGAACCCATTCCTTAAGTAATTTCTCCTTCGGGAGACCGTTAAGGTAAATAATCCAAACCTAACAGAATGGCGGTGTCAGCAGCAAAGACTGCCAGGTCACTCTTGAAGAAGGCGCTAGAAAGCAACGCTAACCCATGTCTAGCTGTCCATGGCTACTTCAACACAAAGAAACTGTGGAGGAGGCATAGGCGCGAGATGAGGCGGCGCGATGCGAGTGATGGCAGTTCAATTGATTGTTTTAGGGCGGTGACGCTGATTTCTCTGGAGTACTGTGAGGTTATAAAGCGGGCAGCGCGGTATTGAACTGCTTCTAGTTCGCTAACGAGGTATGCCTGGGATGAATTCCAAATGGACGATGCGTATTCGAGCTTTGGCCGTACGTATGTTAAGTATGCTAGTTACTTGTATGACGAAGCCGAATCGAGAGGAAGCGAATTGATAAAGTAGGTATGATGAACAGTGGTGCGTTTACGGGAAAATGACATCGATTTGCATTTGGTTAGATTTAACGGCATTGATGAGTCTTGGCACCATAGCGCAACTGTGTCGAGGTCTTGCTGTAGTTTAGTACTGTTTTCAAAGTTGTGAATGGGGGAGTATATGACACAGTCATCTGCAAATAGTCGAAGTTTTGTTTGAATGTTTGTTGGCAGGTCGTTTATGAATAAATAATCCAAACCTAACAGAATGGCGGTGTCAGCAGCAAAGACTGCCAGGTCACTCTTGAAGAAGGCGCTAGAAAGCAACGCTAACCCATGTCTAGCTGTCCATGGCTACTTCAACACACCACTTCGACAGATAGTAGGCAGCCCAGCTCAATTACTAATAGCTAGAACTATATACTCAAATACACTTGTAACAGCAACGTGCTTGTCTTTAACACGCCATCTTGCTGCGTCTCACTCACAAGTTTTGTTGCTCAACAACTTAAGATCCAGAGATGTACTGATAGCTACGAGTAAACCATTTATCAAAATGTTTAAACGAAAATGACAGACATTTTTGTGCTTCCAAGTGTAATTATTTTATTTAAGTTTCAGTAATATTGTTACAGGGATACGACAAAAGATGGGTGTACATATTTACAATATCTACACTAAGTGATGGAGACAACAACTCCTCTTCTTTTTCTTCTAGGTCAGCACTTAACAATATGAATAAGAAAATAAAGATCTACAGCGCCACACCATTTTTGCGAGAAGTGCCTGAACTACTGAACATCCATTCAAAACTGCCGTGTAGAAGCAGTACGGCTCGATCAAGTCAATAGAGTTATATTATTATTCTGATGGCCATTAAATTAATGGCCTTTCAAATGTGCGTTTATTAAATGGGTATATGTTAGTCACACAGTGACTGGTCGAATATGTCTTTAATTGTTAAGTTTTAACATCCCAAAACCATGACGTGATTATGGCGGATGCCGTAGGGCCTTAAGGACTTCAGAAATTCCAACCCCTGGGGTTCATTAACATGCACCTGAATCTAAGAACACGAGCCTCCAACATTCTCGCCACCATCGAAAATGCGCCGCGAATCAATCTAGCGACCTTTGAGTCGAGCAGTCGACCACTATAACCCCTACACCACATGGACTGGTCAAAAATGGCTGCTTTGCTCCCTGAAATGACTGCTTTGGCTCAGTCACTTGCTGCTCCATTTTTCAGTGCCACAAGCTGCAGACACAAACCTCTGAGCCAGTCAAATTAGCAGGAGCAGGACGTCAGCTTATTTTACGGGCCAATGGCAATGCAAGATGTGCATTTCGTGTGGCGATACGTACCTGGTTGCACGCAGGTCGTGAAAATTGGGTGCCTCGAGTCACTTATTGGTCGCCCATCGCAAATGGTTGCGTGTGCAGTCGTAGCCACAAGTATGAAATAGTTATTAATGATCGGTAACTGATGTTCGTGCTCACCAGTATGACTATACAGACAATATTTGTTGTACTATGAGGTTCTCCCTTTTCTGGGAACAAGAACTTACCAGTCTGACTGCCTTCTTTCTCGCCATCATAACCATGTGACAATATGATATTGAAGAATATCAAAAGCACAACCACCAGGCAAGGGAACAACACGGACAAGCAGAATCTTCCAGCTTATTAGTGCTTGTCTGCGCAGTACTCTAGTTGAAATGTTGCACATTTATTATCCTTCAATATTATGAGCCATCGCACCCGGCAACAAGTTATACTGACCCTGATAACAGGAGGTCACTCACCTTGTCCAAGCCAAACAGCATCTGGTACTGAGGCACCAGTGCATTTCGCGGCTCTGTCAAGATCTGCACCAGCATGTCTTCACTCAGACTGTGGAAAGGCACAAGCACAGGGAAGCGGCCCACAAACTCGGGTATCATGCCAAACTCGATAAGGTCCCGAGCCTCCACACCACGCAGCAGAGCATCGCGCTCCGCATTGTCATCACTGGCACTTGAGTAGGGCGAGGCATTGGCCAGCCCGGCCTGTGAGGCAGCCCGCCGCCCAGGAGAGTCGAGTGAAGGGGCACAAAAACCGAGGTACTGCAAACAAGCACACATCGAATGGTCCATCTCATCTTGGCCACTCACTTTGACATATGGTGTGCATTGCATGGCTCTACATCAAGCTAAGCAGAGGACAAAGAATGTATACGAGCGATGTGTTATCCTTCCAGATTGTGCACACAAATATTGGAGGCCCTAATGAATCTTCATGTGCCTTCGTATTTAGATTACAGATGGCGTTGGCATCAGGATTTTTTTTTTACTCCTCGGCACGTTGACACGTGTTGAACTGTGTTTACACGAGCCTGCCACGTCGATACAAGCCATGTAGTCATAATCAAACATCCCATGAAAGGCGAACAAGGACCAAAAGAGGAGGACGGTCTTGGTGAAGATGCTAAGCCTTACAACATAAATATGCACGATTGTTGAGGAAGTGCACATCTGCCAACTCTCCCATTTGCACGTGAGACTTGAATTTTTAGTGAACCTCCCGAAAAACAGCCCACGCACTACAGCTATAAAAAAAAATAACAAAGAACAGCGGTTATCAAGTTTTCCGGCCTTCATCTATCGTTCGCAAAGCACTCCTCAGGTCACTTTCGTCGCAGCACTCTGGAAGAATGTGGAAAAGTGCGATAAGATTAAAAAGGGGCTAGTAGCTGTCTCGGGTCATTTTGCGTCTGGTTCTGCGCACGCAGCATGTCTTTATGAGTACAAATATGATCATTAACATCTGAAAACTATACAGGCAATCATCTTTTCCTCTTCATAGCTTTGGACGCACCTCTATAACTGAACTCCTACATCGTGCCAATGAGCCTTCAGTTACCGAAAGAAATCGTTTAATACGACTACAATTTCTTTACCAAATAATTAAAGGGCATTATAAGCTTGATGTTTCCAACATCATTTCCTTTTCTTCTGGGTACGCCACCCGCCAAAGGCATCAACTTACAATAACCCCTTTCCGGTCCCGAAATAACTGCTTCAAATATTCCTTTTTTCCTCGTACAGTAACTCAGTGGAATGGATTAACTAATAACCAAGTGATGGAGCCGTCCTTAGAGTTGTTTGCAGCAAATTTGACCTGATTGTTTACATCATGCTGTTCTATTTTTTTGTTTGTTTGTTTGGTTTATGCAATCTTGAGTGCCAACATTGTGAAAATTATATCTGTAACCACCCTGCTAAAATCTCTGTAATAGGGATTGGAGTATGAATAAATAAATAAATAAATAAATATGTAATAGTGGTGCTGTGGCCTTAGAAAGAAAACTAATGAAGACATACAGCTTTCTGCTGTCACACACTAATTTTTAATGTTTTCTGATGATAACCGTTTTAGATGATATGAATATTTTTCGTAACCCCGCAAATTCGTGTCACCAAGGTTTTACTGTATATGCCTATTTGTTCATTTCGAATACTCTGAAATTTCAAAGAACTTTACAATTCAGATTAAAGTAAATTTGACTACTAGAGTATTTCTTACAATATTTTAAGTGCACAAATATTTGCACATGCCTACATTATTTGCATGACATGATCTTGGCGAGCTCATGGCCATTTCGTTAACATGACAGGTCTCAAAATCGGTATGCGGTGAATATAGGACAGGTAGCAACCTGCAGATGATGACTTGCATGTCCTGGGGTACATGATTTACAAACTACACTCATAGTGCTTTGGAGACCATTTTGTAAACATCACAAATATCAAAATTCGTATAATGTGACATGAGTGTGTGCCAAAGAAAAATGGCAGGTGGTAACATGAAAATGCATGCCATGCGCACACACGACGACATGCATGGAAAAACTTGGACTTAGATCATAGTTTACATGGCATGGTTCCGGTCCGCTCGTGGCCGTTTCATTAACCTAACATATGTAAAAATTTTCATCACATGACATGAGCTTATAAAAACATTAATGACATGTCATGCACAGTATAGATGAGAATAAACGTTTCATCAGCACGGTATATACGAGACTGAATATGCATGCATACATGATAAACACCTGAGCAAGTGACCTGCCGACCAGCTCAAAGGTATCCTGGCCACCAAGACAACTACACTTGTCAGAGGCTATTTGCAGCTTTTGTGCTTCACCGACACAGCCCTGAGCACTAGCCAGTGCTCCCTTGTAACTTCTGCAGCTTGTAGACCCATCAAATATTTTTATGCGGCTCCCTGTGGCACATTTCTCTCCAGTAACAACACGAACAGCTGATAGATCGACTTGCCACGAGGGCAATTCTATTTGTAGCAGCTGTGAGATCTGATGCATCGGCACTTAAACTGGCTCAGGTGAAAATGTTCGTGGCCATATGTGACAAAATTATCTATGCCGTTATCTATGTCTATGTAAATTAGGGACAGTGCTGTGTCAGCCAAGCTTTGCTAAAGATACGACTATGCACCCTCAACCTCCCATTTTTTCAAGGTCAAGACTAGCACCTTTTCATTGCGCCGTCGTCCGACAATGCGGTCAAGGCCATTGAATGCTCCGGAGGCCACAAAAAGCACGTTTGTGGTATCGACCGTCAGGGCATCTCCTCGGAGCTTGCGAGAGCTGCGTTCAGGCACACTGACCAATGTACCTTCGAGCATCTTGAGCATGCCTTGCTGAACCCCTTCTCCGCCCACGTCCCTCAGCTGGTGGATGCCTGGCACAGCCCCAATCTTGTCCACTTCGTCAAGGAATACAATTCCTGCATTTGACATACAATCCCAAACACTGTTTCTTTAAGCCACATAATTGCATAATGAGAAAACAGTGCTATTGTGCACATAGAAATGCTGGAAAATAGCAAGTTTCGATGACATACTATTTGCCCAGAAGCAAGACACTTATCTAAAAACAATGTTTCTTCAGTCACAATAAATTTGTGTCTACTAAAAGAGCACATGAAATACTGCTTGTTCACTATGAAATAAAATATATAGGTACTCATGCCTGCATGTACACCTTCTTTGAACATAAACAGCATTGAGAAGGCTGACGGATTCAAACAGAGTAACTTAGGGCTAAGTAATGTACATTTTTCTGCTTCCCCTGTCTTTGCTTCGCATTATCTTGACGTAAATTCGACTCTCAGATCCGAGGCCGTGTTACCTATAGTGGCCAGATTTGTAGCAGCAAGACACTCATCTCAAGCAACTGCACCAATCAATTTTAAATCGCTAGTTTTGAGATAGTGTTTCAATCCAATAGCATTATACAGAAAAGGGCAACCACATACTTCAGTTAATCCCCTTTACTTTTATATATGAGTACATTTATATGTGAGTACACCGGAATAAAAGATGTGATAAGCAATAATATGATGCCTGAAGACTTCATTCCAAATGGCTTTATCTAGATAGTTACGAGTAGGCAAAGCCACTACCAAGATAATAAAAGCTCTTTATACTCTGTGACAACTTTTCTTGACAGCACTGTGGAAGCTACAGAATCGAAGCACATGGCTGCTATCATGCCAAAAATAGTACTTACACTCAATGATAATTTTCTTTCTTTGCCCTGCTAAAATTAATGCTGCTTTATTTTCTATGACACTCAAACAGTTGCAAAAAGCTGAAGGTAAACTACAGTGTTTGCTTTGCAAACATGCCTTCCTTTTTTTCCCATTTCTTTCCAGCATCACCTTTTCAGCACGTCTGTTCTCCAAAGTAAACATAGTGTCCATGACGTATAGGGGGAGTGTTTAGCCTCAAATGCACTGTTTAGTTCTCAAAGAAAAAATATATCGTAATATGACCCTAATTGTTCACCGAACAATCCAAATGTTTATTCCACTAACATTTTGTTGTGTATATAATTTCCTAAACGTGTTAACGAAGAGAGCGAGCAAAACTTAAATCAGCTGTGCAGCAGAGCAACACGAATAAGCAGAAGCCCCTCCTCCATAATCTTCACTTTATGTCGACGAAAATACCAGATGCCACCTACACTTTTCCCGTTTTGCTCAATAGCCAATCAGCATGCACCAAAGGCGACCCTTTTGTGACTGCCGCCTCTTTTTGATCCTTTCAGAATACGGCCCCAGACGTGCCAGGTGTTCTTTTGTGCGGTGCTTCTCAATGTAAACATCAGCATTTAGGTGTGCACTAGTAAGAGTAAGAATTCTATTACCTTGATTTAATACAGGCAATCAACACACAAAAAACATAAACTAACTAATCTGTTTATAGTACAATGCTGTGCTTTAAAAGCAAGCAACACACTAGTCACTACAAATGAAGTATAGCTAACAGATCGTCCAATGAAATCCATGAGCTTGTTACGGCAGAGTAGTGTTCAATGTTAGAACTAATTATATCTGTTTAGGTACACACGACTGACACGAAAAAAAAAAAACTGAATTCATTGCGAGATACAAAATTTCTAGAACCAAGTCAGTTTCACAGCTCCCAGTAGGTGCCTGTTCTCCGAAGTAGCAATTGTTTTCTGAAATGTGCAGTTCCTTATGCGTTGTCCAGCAGACCGCGTTTAATATACGAACACGAATTATTGCAAGACCGCGCCTGCGGCAAGTGTACTGCTTTCAGATAGTTCTTTTGCCTTGTTGGTCGAACACAGTCACATGCTTCAATTCAGTTCTTTTTGGGCAAGCATGGGCGCATGACCTAGTCTTGAAGGTAATCGCTTTTTAACCTAGGGCACCCTGGTTTGAACCCCCGTCCCGCAAAGAAAACTTTTATTTTACTAAGGCGACTATCTTAGATGCCTTATCAAGCACGAAAACTTACTATCGGCGGAAGAAAAAACAAGCAGTGCAAAAAAAAAATAATCGTGTGATGACATCATCATGATGCAACTAATTGCCAAAATCTGTGATGTCATCGCATGACGTCGTCGCTTTGCTGTGCCTGTGTGATCTGCCCTGCAAGCACTGAGGCAGTGCAAAACCAGGCGAGGTGGATAAAGCTTACAATGGCTCCGATCACGAAACCAGTGCAAAACCATGTTAAGCACCAAAAGCTTCAAAGGAGAGTGGGGGGAAGGAATGCTTCAACTGAAACAACAACAAAGAAGACTGCTTTCGCCTTTCAGTTGCATTGGGCAAATGCATAAAAACCCGGGGAGTTTCTTCATTATTTCAGTGGTCAGCTTGCACAACAGCTGCTTGTGCTTTTGATGGTAGCTCTTAATAGTTCAGCTGCCATCTCCTTCAACAATAGCAGTTTCTTGTACAAGCAGTTCCCCTGCCACTAGCTTTCTGCGCTAGGAAACCCCTAACACGGTGCCAACAATTAATTCTTGGCGACAATGCGTAGTGGATGATGAGAGGTTGATCGCGTCCTTGAGCACGAATGGTGCAGTCTGAATTGATTGATATGTGAGGTTCAACGTCCCCAAATCACCATATGACTATGAAAGACGCCGTAGTGGAGGGCTCCGGAAATTTCGACCCCCTGGGGTTTTTTAACGTGCACCTAAATCTGAGCACATGGGCCTACAACACTTCCGCCGCCATCAGAAATGCAGCCACGGCAGCTGGGATTCAATCCCGCGACCAGCGGGTTAGCAGCTAAGTATCCTAGCCACTAGACCACCGCGGCGGGGACGAATGGTGCAGTCTGAGAAGCAAAGAGATGCGTCGCCGCAAAATTCACTCGACTGGCTCGATGAAGGCTTGCTTTTATCTTCTGGCAAGAGAGAAGCCATTGCTGCTCATTTTCTTGGGCTGTCTCCTTGTTCTTGTTTTCACTTTTCACTTTTGGCTTTGATACGAGCTCTGGCAGACCGAGAAAAAGGCTGGGCAATGCCCCTAGCACTGGTGCCGATTTTCCACATGGCACAGGAACTTTTTTTCCATTTCTGATGTACTTATAATCCTTGACAATATCGCAAGCCTCAAAATGTTGTTAGTCTACCTTGCATGTGCATATGAGCTACCTAACCTTGCAATGCAGTATGCATTCCCACTTTTTAAACTCATTGAATTCCCATGGTGGTTCAAAGAAGCGGAAACCTGTGTCATTTTTCTGTAGCCGCTTGCGCAGCCCACTGCAAAACAAGATGGCATTATTCAGTGCTATACCTGGTCACACGTGACAACTCTTTTCCTCTGTGCTCTTTCCTAAGCGATGACAATTCACAACCAATGGCAGGAAAAAGTAAAGAAGCGCCAAGCAACGTGATATACACCACGTTGAAGTACACTATTCGTGTCCAAGCAGCAACGCGTGTGCCACGACCCACAATGCGTCCTGTGCAACAAAACACAACAGCAGTGCCCTTAGTTCACACACCAGCCACTTGTGCCAGTGCACGCGTGGACCTATGAAAATGACCTGGTTCTAGAAACAATGGCGAGATCTACAAAAAAGAAAAAAAAAAGATTATAGAGCTTCACATATGTTACAAGTAATCAAAAAAGGATGCAGGATGCTTTCCATAAAGATAAGCAGCATGGAGACAACAATATTTTACATGCATGCCTTTTGCAAGGTTGCTGACCACACCATCACACAGGTCAGCACATTGGCTTGCCAGCCGCTGATTACACTGTAGTACATACTGTGAAAGAAGCTTGTGCTGTGGCAAGACACCACCAGGTAATGTTCTGGTGAGGTGTCAATAGCATTGTTTACAGTAGACTTGCCTTGCTGTGCTTTCTCCACATTGAAGTTAGCATCTTGAAGTAACTTGGCAATAACTGACTCAATGTCTTCCCCAACATAACCAGCCTGTGTCAATGTTGTGCAGTCACAAATGGCAAATGGCACATCTAGGCACCTTGCTATTGTTTGCGCTAGTAGCGTCTTTCCTGTAAGGCACAAGTGAAAGGAGTTAAGAACGCTTGTAAAGAATTCACAGTTATTTCTGACTGCATAGCCATTTCTGCATGAGCTTTGCAACTTCTGCTTAAGACAATTTAGGGCTATGAAAGTATGACCAAGGAATCATGCACCATTGCAAAAAGCATAATGAGATTTATTGAAACCAGTAAAAAAAATCAATCTATACGTCTTTGAAATCAAATATAAAAGAATGTGTTTTGTGCTACACTATCAAATTTACAAGATAATTTCAGTGTTCTTTCTTGAAAGCAAATGAAGTATATGAAAAATTGTGTTTGCTTGAATTTTGCTTTTCCTATGATGTGAGAGAAGCTAGCTTATATTAGCATGCATGCACACATAAAGAAGTGCCATACTTCTTGCTTTCAGCAAAGCAGGCAAAAACTTGGAGCACACATCAGCTTCGCTTTCAAGAGTTGAACAAAATAGTATAATTATGTTCTTTACTCATAGTCATGTTTCCAAAACTCTTTTTTTTTTCTTCCTTTAACAAGTCTCATTACAACAGCTGTCCACATTCTTCCTGTTGTGCAATGACATGAAATGGATCAAGTTGATCAGCCATTGTGCTCACCTGAACCAGTGGGCCCTAGGAGTAAAATATTGCTTTTCTCAAGTCTGATTTCGGCATCAGAGGCATCTAGAACATCTGTTCCCCGCGTGCCCTGGCCATCGGCGTCAGTGCTGTGAGGCGTGGGTGATGACGGCTGACCCTGGATGCCCAGTCCTAGTGAACTTCCATGAGTGATGCCCGAAATGTGCAGCAGATCTGCTCGTAACAAACCAGAAAACTGGTGTTAGGTAGTACCACAGAACTTGCTTAAATGCTGCTTAAAACAACATATGGGATGAGCTTCCAGCACCCGGAAACACCAACAAATACAAGCAGTACCGCACTTTCTTGCCTCAGTTTCCATGAATAGGAATCTTCAAGAGTTTGCTGTGCAAAAAAGACAAAACTGCTACATACGTGGACTGCCAAAAATGTTAAATGGCAGAGTACAGAAAAAATTTGCAAAGTTTACGTGTAGACTTGCTTTGTAAACTGAAGCAGATCTTGTATTCTCAACATTCTTGCATTGCTTTGAAAAAATTCGTTGATGCCACACTCCTCATAATTTTTTAGACTTTGCTTAGAACATGGGGAAGAGCAACAACATTAACATTTAGTTGCAAGATATTTGGTAAGTTTGAAATTTCATAGAGTTCAAGGTCGGTTATTTTCAAATCCCGATATTACAAGTATTGCTAAACCACCGAATAACAAATGTCAACTCAATGATATTCTCAATATAATGTCTAATTTCCCCTCATAACTTGATGCCCGTAGAACACTGCATTTTCTAACCTTAAAGTGACAAACCGTGTTTATCTATGATTTCAGTAGAATGAACTTTGACTACCAAGGAAGACCAAGACAATAAATTGAAACTTGTACTGGTGTCAGTATTCAAGCCCCATGCTTTGAATACTGGCACAGAGCTACAAGTTGCAGTAAAAACTAAGGTTGCACGGTGGGCTTGTCGGTTATCCAGGTTATCCATAGCGCTGTGTATGTGTTGTGTGTCTTCTTCCCTGTCCCGTCTTGGATGCGCTATACCGCAGATGCAGTAAAAAAGTAACAGCTTTGCCGGAAAAGCGAAGCAATGAAGGCGATAGCAAGAAATTGAAAGGTCATGCACAGAATGGAAAGCAGATCGAAACATGCCCCGCATTCCTCACGCCCAAATGACGCACAAAATGTACTCACAGGTACGGATTCACGTGAATAAGGGTCTCATTTGTTACTTTGCTGTGTCTGAAAAGCGTGCGCTTTTTGCAAACAGAGACTGCGATGATTGCAGTGACCTTTGTGCACCTGGTAACTACAGCAGAATCGTTCCAGGTAAAGCCCGAGGCCAGCCAAGGCAAACGACCTTCCCCTCCTCCCCGCTGCGAGATAAGGGCACGTGAGGGAGCATCGCTCCCCTTCTCTCAGCCGGGTAAAGTACGCATAGGAGATTAAAGCGGGCGCCGCCGCACGATGAGGCGACGCGCGCTCATTGCGCCATCTTGCTGATAATGCTGAAAACACAATTCCCCCCCCCCCAGATGCTCGTTTGAATGGTGAAGGATGTGCTCCAGGGTGGCTCAGTGGTTAATGCCTCGCTTTCACGACACAGCGGTCTCACGTTCGATTCCGCGAGCCGGAGTGTTTTTTTTTTCTGAATTTTTTTTCTTTTTTGTGTTTTAATATATGTAGATACGTATACATATACAGTGCATGACATCGACGCCGACGTCCACGCCGGCGGCAAAATCCAGCCGAGAGTGTCCATATTGCCGCGAACCATGCATTGGGTTTCTTTATTTGTGTTTTGCTTTTTCGGCCTGGCTGCGCCGGCCTGTGCTATCACTGTTTTCACAGCATTTCGAACAGACGCTATCACAGCGTTTCGAACAGACGCTATCACAGCGTTTCGAACAAACGCTATCGAACAGCGTTTCGAGTGTTCCGAACAAACAGCGTTTCGAACAAACGCTATCACAGCGTTCTCGATACAATTCGACTATTCGAGAAACCCTTGCGCCGAGGGATATAAATTCCCGCACAGCTGATGCCGCGACATTCGATCGCCGACGCTCACTAGCGTGCACGTCGTATTGCCGGCCGCTGCTTCGCCGCCTGTGTATTCTCAGTTGTTAGGGGAGCACAGGTTCGCTCTAATAAACTTGTTTTCTTTATAGACAACTGCGTCGTTCTTTGCTGCGTGACATCTGGTGGAGGTGCGGGGTACATGAACCCTAAGCCACTGCCAAGCCGACAAGCAAGCCCAACACGACAAGCACGCCCAAGTCGTGTCAGCCCCCGACAGCAAGGCCTTCAGCCAGAGTTTGGACTGCGCCCGGATAAAAGGAGGAAAGAAGACGTAAAAACCACGATGATCAACGCAGGCACCATGACCAGCTCTACCAACCCTCGCGTCGTTCTGCAGCAACCTCGTGAGCCCCCATCATTCCGAGGATCTCCTGATGAAGACCCGGAAGAGTGGCTGGAAAAGTTGGAGCGCATCCGCATCTTTAACAGGTGGGATGACGAAGAAACGTTTCGTCATGTCTTCTTCTATTTGGAGGATGCAGCTCGAACGTGGTTTGAGAACCATGAAGGCTCCCTAGCCGACTGGACTGTCTTTAAGAGCGAATTCCTCAAAACATTCGCTACGGTTGTGCGGAAAGAACGAGCCGCCCATTTGTTGGAGAAGCGAATGCAACACCCTAACGAAGGCGTTGTACTGTTCGCTGAGGAGATGAAGATGCTGTTCCGGAGAGCTTACCCCGAAATGGCAGAAGAGAAGAAGGTGCGCTTTCTGACGCGGGGAGTTAAACAAGAGCTCTTCGCTGAACTCATCCGCAACCCCCCTAAGACCGTCGCTGAGTTCGTCACCGAGGCTTCGATGATCGAGAGAACCTTAGATATGCGTTCGCGGCAATACGATAGACCACTCAACACCCTTTCGGTGAACCCGGTAAATCCCCCTGGATTGGTGACGGAAGACTTGCGGGAGACCATCCGCGCCGTCGTTCGCGAGGAACTGAGGAAATTGTTCCCAGCAACGCCGCAGCCCCAAGTCGCCTCCCTCACTGACGTCGTCCGCAAGGAGGTTCAGCAAGCACTGGGGAATTCTACACCGTCGGAAGCATCTTACGAACCACAAGCGATGACCTACTCCGCTGCTGCTCGTCGACCCCGACCCGTCCCAACCCGTTATCAAGAGGCCCCGCCGTACCGCCGCCCAATGTCGCCCACCTGACCCCCTGTAACCCAAAACCAGGCGCCCAGGAAGACCGAGGTGTGGCGAACGCCAGATAATCGTCCGCTGTGCTACCACTGCGGAGAGGCCGACCACGTCTACCGCCGCTGCCCGTACAAGAGGCTGGGTTTGCGTGGGTTCTCCGTCGACGCACCCCGCCAGCGAGCCAGCCAGCGCCCATTTGAGATCGAAGAATACCTGTCGAACACCAGCCGTGGACCATCCCGTTTCAACCATTCGCCATCGCCATACCCGTACCAATCCCCCAACCGTCGCAGCAATGCTGACTTCTTCCGTGGAAGGTCCCCCAGCCCAAGAGGGGGAAACTAAAAGCAGCAACTTCTGGAGGTGAAGTTGCACAACGGCGAGAAAATGAAAACCCTCCAACGACGCAAGACCGTGATTCACGACATGCCCTCATCCCGACGACACCCTGACGAGACCCCCGAAAACGACGACAGCTACGCTGTGCGACGCGCACCCAAAGTGACGAAGCCTGCCCCTGAGAAGACGACGATGACGACGCATAGTGCCCGACCATCAACACGCGCAAGCCGCGATACGACGCCCCGACGCACCCAAAATTCGAGGAAAGCGGCATCCGACTACTCGATCATGAGCGGGTCATTCGCGTCCAAGCTAAAGAAAGTTACGACCAGATGGGACGGTCCACATATACGCACAGCAGGAGGCCACTTCGTGACCCCAAGTGGAATGTGCACATCGCGCGTCATCATAGACGGCACTACGTACCCTTCGGAGTTCGTCATTTTGCCTAACTGCTCCCGCGACGTAATTCTCGGAATTGACTTTTTGACGGACAATGGTGCAATAATTGATCTGCAGACCAGATCGATAACGTTTTCTTCCGATCACTCCACGACGCCGCAGCCGAACCTCGGACACCGTGCTGCTGTAAGCAGCACGGTGTCCACGGCGGGTTGGCAGGGTGTACGTCACCCTGCCAACCCGCGTAAGCTTGATGATCGCCGTCTATTGTGAAGATGCTGCTCCTGACGTCGACGCTATCGTGGAGACTGACCAAAGGTTGCTTCTAGACCGCGGTGTGTCTGTCGCAAGAGGCATTGCGCGGTTTAAGCAACGCAGATCCCACGTTTTGGTCACCAATTTCACCGAGGAGTACCAGCATCTAAACAAGGGCGCTGCAATTGCGTTCCTCGAAGAAACGCAAGAAGCGAGTCAAGTGATCGCGATCGCCACCTTCGAACGCGCACGCGCAGATGCTTCCAGGCTGCCACATCCTTTCGACGTGAACCCGGCGCTATCGCAAGAAAATCGGGACAGATTACTGGAGTTGCTCCGTCGCTACAGCGAGTGTTTTTCCTCGAAGTCGAAGTTACGTCAGACACCTTTGGCGAAGCACCGGATAATAACCGAAGATAGAGCCCGACCTACCAGACAGTCACCGTACCGCGTTTCTTCACACGAGCGCGAAGCCATCCGGACTCAAGTAGATGACATGCTCAGCGACGACATAATACAGCCATCGAAAAGTCCGTGGGCTGCGCCGGTTGTACTCGTGAAGAAAAAAGATGGCACTTTAAGATTCTGCGTTGACTACCGAAGACTAAACAAAATCACCAAAAAGGACGTGTACCCCCTACCACGAATCGACGACGCCCTCGACCACCTCTGCCACGCCAAGTACTTCTCATCCATGGATCTGAAGACCGGCTACTGGCAAATTGAAGTGGACGAGAGAGACCGAAAGAAGACTGCATTTATAACCCCGTACGGTCTATACGAGTTCAAGGTGATGCCGTTTGGGCTGTGCACGGCGCCCGCAACGTTTCAGAGAGTCATGGACACCGTGCTAGTAGGCCTGAAGTGGCACACTTGCCTCGTATACCTCGACGACGTTGTCGTATTCGCCCGGACTTTCGACGAACACCTCACAAGGTTGGAATCTGTACTCGAGGCCATTCGTACGTCGGGGTTAACGCTGAAGCCTGAAAAGTGCCGTTTCGCGTACGAGGAACTCAAGTTCTTGGGTCACGTCGTGAACGCCGCGGGAGTCCTACCTGACCCGGCAAAAACATCAGCCATTGCGAACTTCCCAAGGCCGAAAGATAAGAAGGGTGTACGCAGGTTTCTCGGACTGTGCACATACTACCGGCGCTTCGTCGCAAACTTCGCACGCATTGCAGAGCCACTCACGCGCCTGACGAAAGAAAGCACCCCTTTCAGCTGGGAAAACGACCAAGAAAAGGCATTCTGCGAGCTGCAACAACGCCTGCAAAACCCGCCCGTGCTCGCTCATTTCGACGAAAACGCCGAAACGGAAATGCACACGGACGCCAGTGATATCGGTTTGGGTGCCGTCCTCGTCCAAAAGCAAAGCAGTTACGAAAAGGTAATCGCCTATGCAAGCCGTGGTCTGTCGAAGGAGGAGAGAAACTACTCTGCCTCCGAGAAAGAGTGCCTGGCTATCATATGGGCCATTTCAAAATTTCGCCCATACGTCTATGGTAGACCGTTTAAGGTTGTGACAGACCATCATGCGCTGTGTTGGCTCGCCAATTTGAAGGACCCCTCTGGCCGTCTTGGGCGGTGGAGCTTGCACCTGCAAGAGTTCGACGTTACAATATTCTACAAATCCGGCAGGAAACACTCCGACGCCGACTGCCTGTCCCGCGCCCCCATCGACCCACCACCCCAGGACTCCGATGAAGACAGCACGTTCTTCGAAGTCGTGACAGAGAGCGACCTAGCCGCCCAGCAGCGTGCCGACCCTGACCTCCGCGCCATGATCGACTACCTCGAAGGACGCAACGTCGCCGTGCCTAGGGCGTTCAAGCGCAACCTACCAGCGTTCAGCCTCAAAAACTCCATCCTAGTGAAGAAGAATTTCAACCCCGGAACGAGAACGAATTATCTACTTGTCATCCCCGCAGACCTTCATGACGAAATTTTGGAAGCGTGCCACGACAACCCGTCTTCCGGACATCTCGGAACAGCTCGCACGATTACAAAAATCAAGGCGAAATACTTCTGGCCCCGCCTTACATCCGATGTCACCCACTACGTCCGGAGCTGCCGTGACTGCCAGCGACGAAAAACACCACCGACGAGACCCGCCGGACTTCTGCAGCCGATCGCTGTCCCAACGGGGCCCTTCCAACAGATCGGAATGGACCTTCTGGGCCCGTTCTCTACATCCCTATCTGCGAACAAATGGATTGTCGTAGCGACAGACTACATGACGCGCTACGCAGAGACCACCGCTCTTCCGAGGGGAACTGCACAAGAAGTTGCAAAGTTCTTTATTAACCAAGTTGTGCTGCGACATGGAGCCCCTGAGGTCCTAATCACGGACCGCGGAACGACCTTCACTGCGGAGCTCATGCAAGGAATCTTACGCTACAGCAACACGGATCACCGAAGAACGACGGCGTACCACCCCCAAACGAACGGACTAACGGAACGGCTGAATAAAACAATCGCGGATATGCTGTCTATGTACGTCGACGTTGAACATAAGACGTGGGACGAAGTCCTCCCGTACGTCACGTTTGCGTACAACACGGCTATCCAAGAAACCACGCAGATGACACCGTTCGAGCTCGTCTACGGAAGACTGCCGACTACCATGCTCGACGCCATGCTTCCGCAGGTAGAAGACGACGACCTCAACGCCGACGTCCAAGGATACCTCCAACGTGCGGAGGAGGCCCGCCAGCTCGCTCGAGTTCGTATAACGGACCAGCAACTGGTGGATGCCGGACGCTACAATCTTCGATGCCGAGACGCCGAGTACCATCCTGGAGATCGTGTGTGGGTTTGGACTCCCATTCGACGACATGGACTCAGTGAGAAACTTCTACGACGCTATTTCGGACCCTACCGGATTCTACGACGTGTTGGCGAACTAACGTACGAAGTGATCCCCGATAGTGACTCCCGTACATCACGACGACGCACGCAGCCCGAAGTCGTCCATGTGGTTCGCTTAAAACCTTTCTACGGACGATGACGAACTTTTATTTTAATTTGTTTGGACTGTCCCTTATGTTAGCATCGGGTCGATGCACTCTTAGAGGGGGGGTAATGCCGCGAACCATGCATTGGGTTTGTTTATTTGTGTTTCGCTTTTTCGGCCTGGCTGCGCCGGCCTGTGCTATCACTGTTTTCAAAGCGTTTCGAACAGACGCTATCACAGCGTTTCGAACAGACGCTATCACAGCGTTTCGAACAAACGCTATCGAACAGCGTTTCGAGTGTTCCGAACAAACAGCGTTTCGAACAAACGCTATCACAGCGTTCTCGATACAATTCGACTATTCGAGAAATCCTCGCGCCGAGGGATATAAATTCCCGCACAGCCGATGCCGCGACATTCGATCGCCGACGCTCACTAGCGTGCACGTCGTATTGCCGGCCGCTGCTTCGCCGCCTGTGTATTCTCAGTTGTTAGGGGAGCACAGGTTCGCTCCAATAAACTTGTTTTTCTTATAGACAACTGCGTCGTCCTTTGCTGCGTGACAATATAATTGCTATCGCAATAATAAGTCGCAAACAAAACTTTCGCTGTCAGAGGTCCTTTAACCTGGATCTGCATTACCGCTAAGCGGCAGTGCAGATTTTTTTCTGAATAGGTGTATTCCACTACAGTACTCTACTGCAGTAAAACCACTTTAACAGGACGAAGAAAGAGAGTTTGCATGTACCATTATATACAGGCATATGTTCATTTCATATGTATTGAAATTTGGAATAATTTAAATTCATTTTGCAGTGAATTAAAATACTGTAATATTCGTTTAAATATTCTAAGAGCTCAAATGTTCAGACATGCCAAACTTAAATGCTTCTGCACAGAAGGTTTGATTTAAAGGACCAGTTAACAGGCTCAGACTTCCCTTCTTTTTTTCTACACCCCCCAATGAAGCTCAGCAATTCATACAGTCAACCGCGGGGATGCTGTTTTTTGAATATTACAGCTCTGCACGCAGTGCAGAGTCTTCATATCGAAAAACATTCCCCACGCTCTTTCCCTATGCCCCGCCCCGCCACGGTAGTCTAGTGGCTAAGGTATTCGGCTGCTGACCCGCAGGTCGCGGGATCAAATCCCGGCTGTGGCGGCTGCATTTCCGATGGAGGCGGAAACGTTGTAGGCCCGTGTACTCAGATTTGGGTGCACGTTAAAGAACCCCAGGTGGTCAAAAATTTCCGGAGCCCTCCACTACGGCGTCTCTCATAATCATATGGTGGTTTTGGAACGTTAAACCCCACAAATCAATTTCCCTACGCCTGACTAATTCTCTTTTCACGTGCAATGACGCAACGTCGCCGATCAGCGACTTGACGTAGCACGCAGCTTGTCGATTGGCCTAATCTAAACCAGTCATGACGATGGGCTACAATTTCCCCTCCTTGCGAAGAAGAAGGGTGGCAAACCTGTGCAAAATTTGAAACCAGCTAAAACCGGTGTTATAACTCCTTTAACATACTTATTACAGTATGCATTCATAAAATTCTTGTGGCAGCATGTTCACAAAGCAAAAGTGCACATATTTCTCTTCATAACAATTTTAGGACCTCAGGGTAGTTTACTCACCCTTTAACTACAATGAAGCAAAGTGCCGATATTACCTGTACTATGCACACATCAAGACCATTGGTTGCCCTAACCCAGGAAGAATTAAGAAGGAGTATTTGTTACACAAAGCTCAAACAATTTCAATTTCTATAAAAATTATTATACAACAGATAAAATGCTCTATGAAAATACATATGCAGCAATACCTGACAAAGTGGACAGAAAAGCACAATCCATCATAGCTCAATTGGTAGAGCATCAAATGCGCAACTTGAAGGTTATGGGTTCAGATACCACTAATACAAAAGGACATGTTTTGGCCTACCTCAATTGTTTGCAAGTTATGTCACAATTAGTACACTATGGTTAAAGACTATAATTAACATATTTCAACACATTTTTCTTGTGTCCTTTCGGCTGCAAAAGGGTTGACGGGAGTCTACTGTACAAAGTTTGCGGTTGTGAGGTCTCGAAATGGCATCGCACTCTCAGAGCACTCACACGGCAGACGTGATCAGGCAAACTAAATAATAATGTACATTTATTTACTCACTTTTATAACAACAATATCACCAGCCGCATCAGATATGTCACTAGTGCCATGCTAAACAACCTTATACAATATTTCAATAAAACACAAGCAAACAACATAAATAAACACAAGGTAGTGCGGATATGCCTCTTACCGATATTCAACTCGTCACGAAGGATCCACAGGAAACGACGCGCAGTTGCCGTCCCTTGTGGATCCCTCGCTAAACATGTCCACCCAGGCAATGGGCATCCCCCAAAAGAGACTAGCTACTTTCTTCTGTGTGCCAGCCTAGCTATTTTGTCACAGCAGTGCAATAATGTTGCCGCTAACCCTACCCCGTGCAAGCACAGCACCACTTCCTGCTCTGCAGCTACTAAACCTAAATGTGGCCTATCCGCACAAGACACATGTGTGCAACGAGGTGCAAACGACTTTCCAGGGGTGATAGCACCCCTTGCAAGGTAGACGGTACACAGAGGCCGCAAATTGAAGTTTCCTGCTCAGTTCTTTGCATAATAACCTGAGCCGGCTCTTTCACAGAGGTTTCACAATGCAGTACTCACCCCTTGTTGTGAATGCAGTGTGAGTTTGCCCATCCACAACACTACCAGTCTCCGTTTTCGATGCAGCACTGGACGCAGGAAGGTTGTTGTAGATTCGCTTGTAGTGGTTGTAAACAGCAACCGACAGTACCTTCTTGGCATAATTTTGTCCAATTACGTGATGGTTCAGGTACTCATAGATCTAAAGCAAGAAAAATAATTAAATTATTTTTCTCACTACTTGTACATGATGTGCAAAAAGAATGAGCATGCATAATGTGACGAACAATTGAACCACACTTTCGGCTTCTTGCATAACACTTTGCATTGGCTCCTATTTCATTGAAACATCTTAATTTTTATGAAAGTAATGAAGTCTAAACTCAAACATGCCTCCTCAATCTGTGGTCCTCATTCTTGTACATTTATTGACGCGCTAGAAGTCATCTGAAATCAGTCAACTCGTTTCATTGTTGCTAAATGCTCTCATACTGCCTCTGTCAATTCAGTCAAAATTTGCACCAAATCTTACTAACAGAAGGAAAGCAAGTCTGTCTATGCATCTTTCATAAAATATTCTTAATGATTCCTATACTAAAACATGCATTGTTCTGACCATCTTCATATGTTTTCACCATAACTTACACACAAATTAAATCCCCATATTGAGGGGCTACCACAGCCGAACGAAATACGTTAAGTAGAAGAACATCTTGTGGCTTGAGCATTTAAAAACAATTAGATCATTTTTTTCCTCACTAAACGAGGCACACAGCTTGGAAAGCTCATTTCAGCCTCATAACAGCGTCTCCAGCTGTAACAGGAGTGTCAAACCCATGACAGGATGAACCACAATATCTTTGATGTCATCTCATCTAGATAACTCGTAACGCAAATACCAGTGAGGCAACAGGCTACTTCAGGAGGGGCTGCCAAATTTTAGGGATAGTGTACAAGGTAGGTGTGCAATGTCGTGGGATCAGGCTAGCTAAGAATGGATTGGCCTTACGTTGAAGTGTTTAAAAGCAGATGCAATGAACGGCAGGATGCTGTATGAGTCATCTCGATTCAATTCCACATGGAAATTTGCAGAGCATCTTGATGAGTTTTCTGCCCACGATGTTTGTCTAAGCTATTTGTTTATGGTTCATAAAGAGAAGAATTCAGAAGCTGTGCAAAGTGTCACAGCTTGCGTAAGCATTGCGGGGAAGTACGGTTTGGGGCAAAAAAACAAAAACGTTTTGTAGTGAGTGGCAATATAAGGCTGGATGAGTGCGTCCACATAACAAGCCAGGAAGCCAGTGTAAATGGGAAATTATCCGCTATCATGCATCAGACTAGGGCAGAACAATCGTCTTGAAATGGTTTTCATATCAAGTATGCTAGAAATGGTTTTCATATCAAGTAAAGTGAGTAATTGTGCAATATATGAGACTTCAGAATGGTTACGATTCTCATGTTTTTATGATACCAACACTTCTGCAAAGCGTCAGGATTATGCATGTGTTAAAGTCTACGGCTGTTCTGATGATCCAACAACCACTGACTTTTTAAAAACCTTCATTTGACGCATTTCAAATTTTATATATTTAAAAGCTTGAATAGACTGACCAGCTCTCAAAAAGTTTTAAGTGAACTGCCAAACAATCTTTGCCATATGGGGCTTTTCCGTTGTACACAAAGCATCCTACAGTATAACCTCATTCATACGTTTAAAAAATATGCAAAGCAAAAATACATTTTCTAGAAAAGCGGAGATTCTGAACACATTAAAGCATGACATAGTTCCACTTGATAATGATATCGTAAGTGTTTGCATTAAGAAATCACACGAATAGGGAACATATTGTCGCGAGAGGAAACGATCGACAGGAACTCGAAGTGGACGACTGTTTACTCAGCCACAGCAGCCATTCACTTCTTCGCTCTCCTCTTCTGCCACCAAGACAGCGTGGCATTACCCTCTCCCCAAAGAAAAAAAAAAAAGAAGACATATCGCATGAATGCCGCGGCTCTGAAAAACAACAAAAGGTAGTAAAAAATGTCTGTGTCCATTGAAAAGAAAAAGGACGAGATAAAAAAAAAAAAGAAGCGAGAAAGAAATGTACAATTGTCCTGAAGGCAAGTGCCCCATCACAAAGTTCTTGACTTGCAGTTAGGGCGAATATTAAGGCTTCATCCTGGAGACATGAACCATATCCGAGGAGCGTGGTCTACGAGAATGGTGCGAGGTGTCTGCTGGCACAACTTTGTAGTTCACTTCCCCGAGGCGATGAAGAACTCGGTAGGGTCCAAAGTCCACGTTGACGTATAAGAGTCCAAACCCAGACTAGATCACCGGGTTCGTATATTACTGCTTTGTGGTGGGTGTTGTACTGGCGAGCATCTTGATTTTGCCGCGATAAAATGCGAAAGCGCGCCAGCTGCCGGGCGTCTTCGGCACGCTGAACAAATACATCTGCGTCCGGGGTAATCAGGTCCGGCAGAGTTGGTTGCAGCATAGTGTCAAGCATTGTGGTGACGTCGCGGCCGTAAACCAAATAAAAAGGAGCAAAGCCAGTGGTTTTCTGCAGAGCCGTATGGTAGGCAAATGTTATATACGAAAGGATTTCATCCTAATTCTTATGATCCTTGGCGACATACATCGAAAGCATATCTGCAATAGTTTTGTTAGGGCGTTCGGTTAACCCGTTAGTCTGCGGGTGGTACGCAGTTGCTGTTCGGTGCGTCATACCACTCAGCAACAGGATCTCTCGAAGCAACTGTGCCATAAAAGCAGTGCCACAATCTGTGACGACGACAGCGGGAGCACCGGGGCAGAGAACAATGTTCTTGATAAAAAAGTCAGCCACATAGGAAGTAGCTGCTCGCTGGGCGGCTTGTGTTTCGCAGTATCTGGTCAAGTAATCAGTGGCAACCACAATCCAGCGGTTACCAGCCGTAGACTTTAGAAATGAGCCGAGTAAATCCATCTCAACCTCTTCAAAAGGTGCGTGAGGGGATTGTAAAGGCTGAAGCAGACCGGCTGGTCTCGTCGTTGGATTTTCGCAGCGCTGGCAGGCTATGCATGTCTTGACGTACTGCCGGATGGTTTTCGTAAGTTTCCGCTAGTATTATTTGTCCTTGATCCGCGCCAAAGTACGCGCGAAACCAAGATGCCCTGACGATCGCTCGTCGTGACAAGCACGCAAAATATCATCGCCAGGATGTCTTGGCGTAGACAGAAAGATGACAAATCACGCGCGAACTGACGTGGGGGTTGTGGGTGACGTCCCTCACGGTATTCGATCAGTGGTTGTAATTCTAAGTCTACGCGTTGCTGCTCAGCCACGTTTAATGATGCGAGAATAGCAAAGCAGCTGAAGTCTTCATCCTTGTCTTCTGCAGCGACCTCAACAGGTGCGCGGGAAAGACAGTCAGCGTCGGTGTGTTTCTGGCCAGACTTGTAAACCATCGTTATATCGAATTCCTGTAACCGAAGGCTCCATCTTGCGAGACGGCCCGAAGGATCTTTCAGATTTGCTAGCCAGCAGAGAGACTGGTGGTCACTGACGATTCGGAAGGGGCGTTCGTACAAGTAGGGCCTGAATTTCGTTATGGCCCACACAACTGCCAGACATTCTTTTTCAGTCGTCGAGTAGTTTTTTTCCGCAGATGACAATGTGCGGCTAGCATAGGCGATGACGCGTTCCACGCCATCTTGATATTGCACGAGAATAGCTCCAAGGCCTAGGTTACTCGCGTCAGTGCGGACTTCTGTGTCTGCTTCGGTGTCGAAGTGACCAAGGATCAGCGAAGTTTGTAGGCGTTGCTGAAGGTCGCAGAAAGCGTCGCATTTTTTGGAGCCCCAGGCAAAGGTGACGTCGTCCTTGAAGAGTTGTTGTAGAGGGTCGGCGATTTTCAAAAAATTCGGCACGAAGCGACGGCAACAAGCACAGAGGCTCAGAAATCGGCGTACATCATGCTTTGTTCTCGGTATCGGAAACAAAGCAACTGCAATACCCTTCTCAGAATCGGGGCGAACACCACTGCTGCTGATAATGTGGACTAGGAATTCGAGTTCCTCTTATGCAAAATAACACTTTTCTGGTTTCAGAGAAAGGCCGGCAGTGCGAATAGCCAGAATAATCACCGCAAGCCGCTCAATGTGCAGTTCAAAAGTCGTAGAAAAAATGACTACGTTGTCTAAATACACTAAACAAGAGTGCCACTTTAGGTCACATAAAATTGTGTCCATCATTCATTGGAATGTGGCTGGAGCGGAGCACAGGCTAAAAGGGAGAACTTTAAATTCATAGCAATCGTCAGGTGTAATAAACGCCGTTTTTTCTCGGTTCCGTTCATCTACTTCAATCTGCCAATATCCGCTACGGAGATCCATGGAAAAGAAGTAACGGGCGTGTCGCAGGCGATCCAAGGAGTCATCAATACGAGGAAGAGGATATACGTCTTTTTTTGTTATCTTGCTCAGTTTGCGGTAGTCGACGCAGAAATCTCAAGCCTGGCGGTGCACGTTCCTATAGGGGATACGAGGTGTCCTCCAGAGGTGATTAGTTGAGGGCCGTCCAACATTGTCACATTGTCAGCACCTTATGTAGACGGGTGGCCAATGAAGCACTCATAACCGAGTAATCAGCTTCCGTGTCGACAAGCGCAGTCACCGGATAACAGTCGACAAAAACGGTAATGGCAGCGGACGATCTGTTGGCAGTTTCAGAAACGGGCTTTAACGGCACGTCGTAAGGCAGCAGCGGAGGGTATTTGTCGATTCGCGTGACAGCGGCCTCACCTCCGGAGGTCGCCCTTTTCAGTTTCCCCGGCGTGGGCTTGTGCCACTGACACCAATGGGATTTCACTGCACGCCACCAGTTTTTTATTTCGTCGTCAGTTCCAGTGAAATGCAGCCGCCCTGGCCAAGGAATGTGGCTGTTAAACCAGTAGCCATAACAGCCACCATGTTCCACAAGATAGACAAGAATTACAGCAATGCTGATAGAAGCATGACTTACCTTCTTTGGAGGAGGAGGTGGCTTGCGAACCAATCCAGATTTGTCTGCACTAATGCGGGCTTCTTTAAGAGTCTTCTTGGTGTCCATGTCTGACAGGACCACAAAGAAGTGGTGACACTTCTCGCACTTGACAAACCGCGTTGATGCTGCACCGAATTAGAAGACGTTAGCCATGCATACACAATGCAATTAAAGATGGCCCCAAACTTCTTGTAAAGAATTCCCTAATAAAAACTTTAATTACATAGCTTTTACAAAGTCGACATCACGAAGTTAGCCGCTACTCAATTCAAATTAGTAATTGATATGCCTGAAACAGCCGATTTTCTTGGCTGTGTTTATAATTAGTCCTTGTGAAGAGTAGTATTGAGCAAGAGCCATTGAAGTAAAGACAAACTTTAGAACAAAATAAACTGTACAACATTAGGAAGAGCACTAGGTTAGTTAGATATGCGAGATTGTATGACTTATCAGTGCCTATGAGATAACAGGAAGAAACTGAGCAGAGAAAATAGACAAGGACAAGAGGAAAAAGAAGATGCTGTCTTCAACTAGTTTTACTATTGAAAAAGAACCCAACCCCTTGTCATTCGGAAGCAAAATGCCACAGTGCACTCGTGAATTTACTCCCCAGATGTGTGTCACACAAGCATGTTACTGCAGAATCACAATAAAGTACACCAAACAAAAGAAGAACTAAGAATTTAAGACATTTCAGCTCTTCATATGGGAGTCTTGTTCATAACAAAAAAGGTTTCAAAGAAGAGATAAAGAAAACTAACAGACAAAGGTTTCCACATGGGTGCAGGGATTGCCACACTTGGGGCAGCAGAGGTGTCCATCTCCCCGGTTTCCACCGCCTGTGCCTCCTCGTATTCCACCTTTGTCCACTCCAGAACTGGTACCACGAAGTCCCATGTCATCATCCCCGCTTCCATTGTTGCCACCTCCGACTGCAGTACGCAGAGTGGCGACCAGAAGGCACCGACTTCCCGAGCTGATTGGCAACACCCTGTGCACGGATGCTCTGCTCTGCTGACCTTCACAACCAAAACAACGATAGAACTCTTTCACAACTTTGGTAGGTACCAACATAATTAACAGGACCCAACTTAATCGATACATCAAGGAGTAAATTAGTAAGAAGCAAAGACTGAGCAGAAACAAAAAAGTAGATTCTTGCAATCATATCTTTTGTTCTTAAACTTGAGAAAACACTCAACTCTGAATCCTTAAAATAGTTATTGAAGAAGCCTCGAACCATGCATTTTTCAAGTTCAAGGAACATAAATCGGCAAATAAACTAATGAGTCAAATCACTCAGACCCAACTGACCTTCAAATCGAGCCATAATAACAACTGTTGGGGTTAAAATACAACCACTCCACCCCTCTACTGTTTTTCTAGCCATTCTTTTTTATTATTCAGCAGAAAGCCTTACATGAACACAGTATTGAAACTGACAGAGCAGAAATGCTTGAACCATTGCTTGCCAGTTGATTATCTAAATTTCATTTTTGTCTTTTGTGCCTTTTCCTTTAATTGTCCTTGCTGTTACTACATTCCTTTATGTTTCACATACGTTATGCTACTATTTTTGTTAACGAGATAATTGCATGCCTAACTTTTCATTGTCATCCACTCTGCAACAACTCCACTGGGTCAGCAGCAGTGTCAGATAACAAATAATAAACCTCGCAGGTTCTTCCTTGTCCACAGTGATTCTGTGTACAACAGTGACAAAACAACCCATTATTCGCATAACAACTGGTTTCTCAAGTGGTTAGCCAATTAATTTTCCATGCTACTGCTCCTACTCAAGTGTGTTGCAGTGAAGTGCATCTTCTGCTTAGTCATACGTAGCTCGGCATGTTTTTTTTATCCTAGCGGCAATCACAGTCTTCCTCGGTTACCTAATACATAGGACACAATCCAGTGTGGCTATCTTGTTCTTTACATTGCAACCCCATAGCCAAACTAATGAATTCAGTGTCACAGAAAGCCCTGATATGTCAAGGCTCCATCAGGTTAATTGCACAGAATATCATATCCATGTCCTGGTTAAATAATGCAGCAACGATGGCTCTCGTGACACCCCCAAGTCACACAATTCTGGCAATAGACACCAAGAGCTTGTGGCACAACTGCTGGCAGAGACTGGCACATTCACAGACAGATTGCAGAGTAACTGTGACACTTAATTATAACCAATGGATGATGTAGCCTATCGCAGTGTCATTTACCTCATTGCATACATTGCAGCCCTCATAGTTTCACATGGCTCTTGATTGTAGGTGCGACAAAATGAAGAGATGGCTGCTGTTAGTTGTGTGCAATACAGCTCGTATGGTGTTCTAGGGAATATCACTCACGCTGATGACAAATTTTCATCTCAAATGTGACTCAAGTCATGCAAGGTGCCTCGAATAGGAGCTCAAAGGTAGGCATTATTTGTTTTTGCTTCCATATCAATGTAAATGTAAGAAATTATAAGTTTGTTTTATAAACTCACATACACCATTACACAAAGCACGAAATTAAATAAAGGTGCAGAATCAACAGTGTAATGTTGCTGACAGATGTTCGGCCCTGTTTTGAACCCTTTACGCTAGGCTGAACCCAATTAGATTCAATTTAACATACAGCAACTGCCCATGTTGGCATCCTGAATGTGAAAGGTAGTGTGCATACAGCAACTATGCCTCTCTTGCCTATGCCGTGCATAATACCTCTTGACTGCGCTAGTAATGATGCAACAATGGGAAGGGATCTATTCAACACTCACTGTTGGCAACTTTCCTCAAGATGATTGACCTTGTTGGGCTGACTGCGCAACGTATTGCTGACATTTTCTGTGTTAAGAGATGAAAAGAACACTCAGAAACACTAGTTAAAACACATATACGGTGACATGAAATAGTGAACATGGGAACTAAACTTAAAAGTAGAAGGAAAGCAAGGGTGAAACGCCTTTAATGCTGGTTGTGTTCTGTCCGGACAGAATTCTGTTCTGCCCAGACAGAGTTTTCAGATATGTATCGAGTTTTGTTCAGCACACCTTTTAGCCTGCAATGAGTTCTCCCGTAGGTACCCTGTTGCCTCGTCACCTTATGTGATGAGCTGTGTATGAACTGGGCTTACGGTTGTGATAGCTAAACGCTTGTAGGCTCAAAATTGTTGTTCTTTTTTTTTTCCTAGTTAGGCTAGAATTTGTAGTCTGGGTCATGTCTAGATGATGGTACTTGACATGCATATTTAACTTAATGGTGAAACAAACAGACCTCTTCAGTGAATGGGAGAGTTAATATGAAAATTGGAAGCTTCGGGTAACATGACCTAAACTGAAACGTAGTGATGTTGTGGTTGGAGCGGTTGCGGCAAGTACTGCTGTTTAGCCATTCAGTGGTTGGCCTGTGTCACTGGGGGCCAACATCTGACAATGCCGCTTAAGCCCCTGCCTGTCATCAGCCTTCAGGCCACTAAATAATCAAGCTGCAGCGTTGTCTGCATATGTGTGCGTACACAAACACATTATTTTGCACATAAATGATTCATGCAGAAAAAAAAAGACTTTGCTGAATTTGTAAATAAATATACTCCACTGAAGATTAAACCTGCCAGTGCCCTAATTAACTAGCGAACTTGGGAGCATTATGAGTGGGTACACTGGAAACCTTACCGGCTATTTCTAGACGCATGCAGGAAAATATACGTGGTTGTGATGGAAAAAATTCAGAAACTATGCGGTGCCCGTCGCAATTAATACGATCGCCGTAATGAAAAAGGGTGGTGCGCATCGCTGTCTAAAACGCACTGTATTATTTTATGATTAGATGCCATCATTGCCGATGATGAGTTCCACAAATAGAGCACATTGGTTGTCACGTATCAGTCATTGTCAGTTCATTAAACCGTCGTGACATTACGCGGGAGGCGAAAGTACGCACAATTGGACACATAGCACAAACTAATTCGTGGCGCGTAACTAGCAAAATCAATTCACACAAACAAAGCGGAAACCGCTCGTATACATCCCGGATGCGTCGATCAGAATATAACTGCAAGGTGCGCATGATCAGGGAGATGTAAACAACTACGATAAAGGCATCAGAAATGCGGTGAGAACATTCGAATGGCCTTGAAGGCGAGATTTAGCAAGAAACCTAAACAAACGCTACAACTTGCGCTCGTGTTAAGAGGCAGTGAGCGTAAGCCTAAGTTAGACAACTAAAAGGGAAAAGAAATAAATGAAAACCAATCTAGCGGATAGAGCGCAAACAAGGCAGCGCGATTGATCAAAAAACCTTACCTCAGCTGCTGCGGTGAAAGTGTTGGTGCTCGTAGATATTGCTCTCGCGGCTGAACAGGCTTCCTTTTACACGCACGAAGCGTTCGCCGAGCATGAAACTGGGGCGTTAGCACAATAGCACACTTTCTCTTTGCGTTGCACAACTCGCGTCAGCGAAAGTAAACCGAGAATCTAGTTCTAAAAGCATTCATTTTCGGTCGGCACGCAGTAATGTCAGGTGCTTTAGTTTTCTCTCGCTCCAATAGAGGATGCCACATGTCAAAACGTTTAAGCCATCAACTGTTAAGCCGTTCACACCGCCGCGCCGTAGCTGCGCGTCACTTTTGTAGACAAGGCGAGAACAAAGTCAAGATGGGTAAGAAGCCGAGTCAGCTCGAAGCACGCCAGTCACCGATGTCTGCATTCTGTGTCAACCAACAGTGGCATTAATAGCGTTGGTCTATATTACTATTACTATAGTATTACTTGCACGCCCGACTACTTGCCTTCAACGACTTGTGAAGTGTAGTGTGCGTGAAGTCGAAAAATGGCCGAGGAGGAATACGACGGTGACGACGTTGGCGGCGCCGACGACTTCGACGACGTCGAGGAGGACGAAAACCTCGACGAGATCGACCAGAATGACGAAGAGAACATCGAGCTGCTCCAGGCCGCGGATGGCCAACCGCAGCAGAACCAGAAGCGCATCACCACCACATACATGACCAAGTACGAGAGAGCGCGAGTGTTGGGCACACGAGCGCTACAAATTGCCATGTGCGCGCCTGTCATGGTGGAGCTGGAAGGCGAGACCGACCCTCTGCAGATCGCTATGAAGGAACTCAAGGCACGCAAAATCCCCATCATCATTCGCAGGTACCTGCCTGACGGCAGCTATGAAGACTGGGGTATCGATGAACTCATCATCACTGATTGAAGCTTGCGTCATCACCGTTCTGACAATAAAAGTGTAAATAAGCCCGTAATCGAAATGAACTCAGTGTTTGTTGAAGTATTGTCTTTTGTCTAAACGCAGTTACGCTCTTCGTGGCAGGCGCATGGGCCTGCCACGACAAACGGTAAACCTAGATGCGCTCCAAATAATTGCGGTGTAGGAAAACCCCGTTGTCTCTTCTGACAACTTTGTGTGTGTTGTACAGTTCCGCTCACCGAACTATGTAAAAACCCAAAACTGAGCCGTTTACTGGCTTGCTTTTCGCGTGTAAACTGGCGTATACAAATTCTATAGAATAAACTGCAGATATGCTTGATCGCAATCTAGAGCTGGCAGAGAGTAATTGTTGATCATAACAGTCGGGTTTCTGACTGCTATTAGAATGGAACTGTTTCGGTATCGGCATTTGACGTTTGAATGTCGCAGTGCAGGAAAGTCGCATTCTTAGCAGCCGCTGATATTACCACTGGTTATCGAATGTGGTGTTTCATATTCTAGTGACGAGGCATTAAGTCTATTATCTATTGCTGGTCTTTATTCTTTCAGCACACTTCCTTTGCTAAAACGTCGTAGTTTGTCGAGTCGCTCAGTGTAAAGAAAAGTCAAGCTTGCCAAGGACCAAGCCTTGCAAGCATGCACATCATGTTTACTGTTAAAGCACTTCTTTACGACTACAATTTTGGAACATTTGTGTTGATAGTACAATGACACCACCAGAAGCATTGTAAATTTGTTGAGAGACATTTACTTTGTGGAGGGTGTTGATTCCTTTGCACTGGGGTTCTTTAACGTGCACCCAAATCTGAGCACACGGGCCTACAGCATTTCTGCCTCCATCGAAAACGCAGCCGCCACAGCCAGGATTCGCTCCCGCGACCTGTGAATCAGCAGCAGAGTCCCTTAGCCACTAGACCACCCACGGCGGGGCAATGACGATGAAATCTCATTTTGTGTTTGTCACTTCGAGGAAAATGGTTTGATCTTGTGCCACACAGTTTAAACCATCACATGCAACTCTGAAGGCAACTTTATCAGCTGTGATCCAGCACATTTGTGTAGAGTATTCTCATTAAAGCAGTACTGCTGGTAAAATCCTTGTCTTGGCTAGAAATTTTATGTCAAATATGAATATGAGCTGTTTGTAACATCGTTACCGAGAGTTTATGCAGCGAAGGCACATCGATTCAACTTTCCGATTATGGAGTAACGGCACAAGTAACATGCATGACTTTTTTTTTTTGTAGCGATAATGCATTACTTCATGAGGTAACATGGGGCAGTACTTAATTTCTTTTTTTTTGTTATCTCAATGAGTAATAAATTTAGCCACTTTTTTTTGGTAATGCCACCACCACCTGCAGAAAGCCAAGATATCTATTGGTCAATAAGAGTAAGACTGGATTTTAGAAGGCATGTGTGCTAAGGCGAAGCAGAAGGTCAGATGGGCAGATAAGATTAAGAAGTGTCCCTGGGTAAAACAGGGGGCTACTTGGGCTGGTTGGTACTGTATTTTAAAGGAAAGTTTTATTTTTGTGCACAGAACGTTTGAGAAAAGAAGTCAGTGATGCACCCTGTCCCATCCAATTGCTTTTGCCAAATGTTCTGCACACAAAAAGAATTTTCCTATTAGGACTGCTGGGATAATGTAGCTGCAGCAGGCACAGGACCAGGTTAGTTGAAAATACACAACAGAGGCCATTGCCCTGCATTGGGCACAATAAGGCAGAGAAATATGATAGTGAACAGAGCATGCATTCACCATCATCTGGATGGTAGGTGCAGAGAGGGCTGGATATCCAAGCAAAGGTTCAACAGCCTGAGCACTGAGGTTGCCCTAACCACGTTTTGTGAACATACTTCACTTTTCTGGTGGAGAAATTTCCTCTGTAGCTGGTTTGGCAAGTTCTTATGCTAGTGTCTTAGTTGTACTAGACACAATAAACCAGAGTGCGAGAAACGATTTATTTGTTCTCAGACATTATTATTAGTAAACACATAAACACACACTATAGGCCACATGAACACTGCACTTTGAATATGTTGTAGCACATAATTTTATATTACAATACATACAAAAATTGACATTTATTTAACGCACGATAGCAATGTCAGCTGATAGCACTTATACCGTACCTTGACATTTAAGCCCACAATAATAGTCATATTTCATGGTGTGTTTGAATATGAATTAGTTTTCAACTTTTTACTGGCTACTGCAAAAGGCTTATTCTGTCCATGGGTATCCAGACCCCAGTCAACAACTTGTTAGTACAGAAGACTAGTAAAGTTAATGAGCCTTAAATTTCATGTTTAAGGCACACAACTCACCAGTGAAACAGTATGAAAACATAATTTAGATGTACACCTACATATGTAAACATCTAAATGTGCCCGCTTACTTACATCCAGCAACAAATATGTTACTTTAATAATAATTCACTAATGCTAACTTTTGTGATGCTACATCTGGCTCACCCTTTTAGGTGCAGTCCACAAGCATGGACGCCACTTGTTTTTGCCAGTTCTTTCGACTACTGGCCATAAAAGAGCATGATAGTCTGTGCACTGAACCTCCTGCAGCCAACTTTCGTCAATGGTTTGTTCAACGTGCTGCGTTCCAGAAGCGCTGTTGAAAATATAATTCTTGTTTGCTCGAAATCAATACAACTGGAAACAAGTTGCCAACGCATTCTAGGCCTATGATTTCATTCTTGTATTGCAAAAATGAAACACGACTGATTTCAGAATAATTAGACCTTTCACTCCATGCTAATCAAGATTACCTGCTGCAACTTTTACCTTTTTTTTGTTTCTAGAAATATAATATTGAGTGCTTTTAAATAATGTTAACTTTAATACATTTGCAGACAGCTCTTTCTTATTTGTGACTGAAGTAGTTAAAAAACCCACTTGCATGTCCTCTAGTAGCCTAAATTTGTAGTTATATTTTCAATTTTTTTTAACCATAATCTCAGGGGCAAGAGACTTTCTGCTTTTCCTTGCATTCACTCAGCGGATGAGAAATCTATTCAGGGCCGTATGTCACAACTCCGTACTCATTTCATGGCACCCAGACAGCGGGCTCTTTGGAATTGTGTCGCTGGTGCTCGCCTTGGGGATCCAAGCATTCCACGACGGTGAAGATGAATAAACCTGCAAGAGTGACATAAGACAGAACTTCATAAACAAGTAAGCTTTCAGACATTTGCAATATTTTCTGATAGTGAAACATCACAGACATATAAAGGTTTTACATGAAGCTCTTATTGTTTTTCACGAGCACCCCTACCAAGTAGTGATTAATCTTGCAAACCATAAATATATTCAACTAGCATGTTTCAAAGGGTACTTACACTATTTTGAAGCAACACATATTTAATATCTTAGTTTCGATTTCAAAGGGCTCATCATCCAGCATCTGCAAGACAGCTCCACTGCAGGGAACATATCTCCAGTCACTAGACAACAATTCACTCATCATTTTGTTTACGTGGAACTGACAGCAGATAGCAGTACATCTTTAGTTGATGTCCCTGTGTGATTTAGGTTTGCGTCAGACTGCTTTGACATGTCACTGTAAAAGTGCCCTCTTAATACCAAAACCACAAGTCATTTTTACGGTAACGATATTAAAAACATATTTATTGTGCTTTGAGGTGCACCCTACTTCTTTTATGGTTCTTGACACCAGTGTTTTTGTTTAGGCTTACAGCATAAAAACTTCTAAAGTTTGTGTCGGTACTTTTTTGATGCCTCAAACTATACATAACGAACAATGAGGAATACCACAGCAAAGTGCTGCAAAGAATTTCAACCACTTCAATTTCTTGAAAGCCCATTTATCAAAGTACCCGAGTGTTTCTGTATTGCACACACAGTTGGTGCGTGAGAGGGAATCAAACCTTTGACTGCTTTCTCAACCGCAGATCTTCACTGCTATTCAGCCATCAACACAAGTTGAGCGCATTAACAAGCATCAACCAGTTCAGATCCTTCACACTTGTTAAAGCAATATAAATGAAGTGGGTTGTTTTTCATTGCTTCTTAGTTCTGCTGCTGCTGGAGTGTCGAAATATTATCATGCACGCAGGAGTGTCAAAAACACAAAGTTACACTCCTTTCAAGGAGAAACCACCTTCTGCTGCAAGTACAGCATCCCACAACGGCAAATTTTGGCATCTGAAGTGATGTTTAGGTCATGTGAAAGTGATGCCAGTGGCTTTTCACTGTGATTAATTTGAGAGGTACACTCTCAGGAGAAATTCTTGGGGTCCCAGCTAGGCAAAGCCACTATGTGCTAAAAAATTTAAAGCATTCTTTTTTACTCCAGCGAATGATGTCTTCTGAAAGCAATTGCAGCACGGCACTTGGCACTCGGCACAAGGGTTAACGTAATGCGACGCTTCCGGTACAGGTATGTCTATCATGCTGGTGACTGGACGCAACCAGTAATGTCTTCGGTGGAGCAAATGCGAAAAGGTACATTTTTTTTCTTTTTTTTCTTGTCTGCTCTGGTTTAAAACTTTAACAACTAATACGTAATAACCTGTTAAAGCACACCAATTTTCATCATTTCTTTTGCATTCATCTCAGCATTCAATGCTATACACACCCCGGTGTTATAGAAGGCAGTTGGAAAAAATATAGAAGGCAGTTTTAAACGTCCCGCTATCACTGCATCGTTCGAAGTCCATATGAATATGTGAATGAAGTTTCTAGCATATTATTTAACTTTAGTGTGTAAAGAATAACAATTAATTAGATCAGAACTTGTGTAATGCACCACTGTAAGATGTTCTATTTCTGAAAATTCTTTTTAGTTTACTTGAGATTTTTATGTCGATGGCCACATACAACTTCATTGTCTGGAGAGCTACATGAAGGGTCATGTCAACAGCGAAAAATTCTGAGTTTAGTTGGAACATACACAAATGCACTGCAAGAATATGGTGAACAAAGTAGATGGAGTCAGTGAGACGCACACCCGTAACTCAGAAGAGACCGACCCTAGAGTAAGTGGCCACTGTTGGAGTCTGGAAAGTGACG